TACTACAATAAAATTCAATTATTTTACTTAAATTGGTCTTTCAAGAATAGCTTATTTTTAGCTTATGGGAGTTTATCGCTATATGGCTTATTTAGGAGTTTATCGACCTCAGCGCATTGTTTGCATTGCACAAACTTAATCCGCGAAGCAAAACGTCTTCTCTACACGACAATAAATGACATGCGGACTCCCGTGTTCAGGTGCCTAAGCCTCCGACTTACAGGACAGTTTGAAGTCCTCTGAATAAGCTTATCCGCAGCGGCCACCAAGACGATGCGCATGCTACTGCTCATAAAGTTCTACACACAAGGAGACTTTGTAGCATCGGACACACAGGCTTCCTAAAGCAGATTGATCGCTGTTCCGTCGACGATCACATCTCTCGGTTTCAGTTCATCCGCGTGCCAGGTGCAAAGAAGTTTCGTATGGTTGGTTGGCTTGCTATTGATAAGTACGGTGATAGTCACAAATTTATGAAGAAATCATACTTGGTAACGAATACTTTTGGTAAAATTATATAGTATTTAAATTTGTTCACTCTCGAAGCATATTTGGCACTCGCGGACTCAAGCGTTCTCATGGAGGAATGCAATTTTATTCTGGCAGAAATAAAATATCCCATTTCTTGTCTTATTGTTGCACCACTCACAAGTTCGGATGTGATCATTTGTGTTGAACAGCAAACACTTCATAGCAGAATAGTCTTTTTCTCAGAAGGTCTCAACTTAACCCAGAATATCTTTAATAACATGCAATCATTGCGGTCAAAAATGGTACTCTTGCTGCGGCCTTGGAGGCAGTAGCAAGCCTTTTGCCCCAGCCAATAAGCAGGGGTCTCTACAGAGTGGTGTGCAATTATGTAAAATCGCTCCTGCCGTAATTGCTAAAATATCTGACGCTTATCTCGCTGCCTTGCAACAATATTCAGACCAAGAAGAGTCGGCTGCCTCGAAGCGCGATTTTTTACACGTTTCCAATTTTTCTCGAAGAGTGCCCGTATTTTTTGTTGGTGCCGAGCATAGCGCTGCCGTAAGCTACGTTTGGGGCCGCCTTGCTACGGCCATCGTAACTATACATAAGATGAACAGAGCAATTAACATAGCACTGCTAGCCGCTCGCCTGCCCTTGCTTATAGTCTGCTAAGCCTTGTAGGTTGTTCGTGCTCCCAGCCAAGCCTTTTGTCCGCTTGCAGCTCATTAACTTCTCAAAAGTTTTCTTTAAAACGTATCGTCCGAGGGTTAACTGGATAACTCTGCACGAGTCTTCTGGAAAAATATCTATTTTGCAAATCACTCGTAGCTGTCTCTTGTTATTTAGTCAGTTTCAATACGAGTAAATGTATTGTATGAACGTCAATCGTCCCGTTCACTGTCCATGCCTATGTAAACAAAAATTATTCAGTTTTATGCGCATTAATTTCATTACGCTTAATCTTATCTCGACCAGGCGTGCCACAGCAAACTTTCCATGGGAGATCTGCGTACGGCCACAACGTATGCACAGATCGTCGTCTGTTTGCTTTCTCTCTTCTTTCTCCTCCGAGAAACTTATGGCCCAGGAATGTTGGCTGGTCAACGCTCGCTTGCTCTAACAGGCAGACGTATGCATGCTGGCCCTTGCTTGCTTTAAATCTTTGAAGCCTAGTTATTTTTTTCCGTAACAGTACCAATTATATTTTTTACAATTTTTCTCTGTTCCTTCGCTGTTGGCTTGACGAGCAGAAAGAAGCATTTATTCGCTTGCGCATTAGCCAACCTTGCATCTGCGCGGAATCAAATGATTCAGTCAGACTCGTAATAGCACCTTTTATACAGCACAGGTTTTTCCTCATAATTTAAAAGGAATTAGTCGTTCTTCAAATGTGTTTTTTTCCTATTCATTTACCTTTAAACACTCCAGTTCCTGAAACTTTGTCGTTGCTAGTCCGTATTCAGCGTCACTTGATGCAACAGCGGGAGCATGTACAAGCTTTCTCTCTTTTCTCGAATCCCTTCCAGAATCCCTCTCTTTTCCCGAATCCCATTTAATCCCTGCCTATAACTAGAGCGTTTATGCTAACATTATAATTAAGAATCAAATCCTAACTAGGGTATGATTCTTCTTTCTCTGAAAAGTGATCTACTGAAAACGCTGTCAACATGAAACGCGTGACGAAACGCTCCGTAACTCGATAAGCGTTCACTTTTGTTTCAGAGTCACTGTAGGTTCTCACCTAATGGTTCACAGCGTCTTCCGCAGAACCATTAACATCGGTTATAATAGAAAGCTTGAAGACGACGATTTTTCTCTCACTGGATGAAATAGCGAGACGAATGGTGTACAGTCGCTATACTGAATTAGCGACCGTAGTGTCATTCGAATTTTATGGATGAATATAGTGTATATCACCTACATTTTTACCTAAAATTACTCAGTTTCATGAGTGCGGTATTTCTATCGAATACTTAATCTACAGGATAATAATTTGAATTTTAAAACCACCGAATTCTATTTAATTCTGCCCCCAACCTTTTTCCACCCTATAAAATAAATTGAAATATTCTGATAAAATAAAACGACCAAAGTTATGAAACCTAATTCACTGAACAGTCTGAAAATTTCCTGTATATAATTTCATCAAGATTAAATTAAGCGTAAGTTTTTAAGAACTAGACCTGACCACACGGACGTATCCTATCCTATTAAGGCCTGAGGTATTGTACAGTATCACCGACACTACTGGCGCTATTGTAAATCTCTGCCATCGGTACCCCGGCCCATACATAAAGAAACCAAGCCGAATAGTCAAACTTACGAAACCACGTACAATGTAGACGCTCTCACAGAGGCGATGCTCGCAACCGCGGTGGCTTGTCATTAACCGGAACTGATATGCAAGGAGAAGACTTTCGAGCAAAAAATAGATGACCACATAAAATTCTTGCTGGTAGGCTTCCGTCGATATTGGGGACAAGGCGTGAATTTTTTTCGTTAGTGAGGAAAATTACAAAAAGGGGTTTTGGAAGATGAAAAATGATTTTATGTAGGTTGCAGCGTTAGCTCAACTCTGTAGAGCTCTTTTTCGTAACGTTTTTAGATTATTGAAATTTTTTATGCATGCTAACATTGTATCGTTGTGATTTTAACTGTCCTGTGTTTTCCTTTACATTTTTGAGCTCGTGAAATTTAAATTATATCCACAAATCAATAATCACAGCAAATTTCACGACAAAAGGAGTTTTTCTATATAGTAGTCCTATATTCGAAGATTTGCCGTCTTTCTGTTCCCATTTTGTAAGAAACCAGTGGACTCCTTTTTCCGGTGCCTTTTATTAAATCATTAGCATTCTTCCACTAAAAAGCTTTTAGCTATAAAATCCTCAGCGATATTTAACTATTCTGAGTAGGTTTTACATTTTCAAAGTCAACTTCTGTATTTTTTGTTGTGCGTGTGGCAACTGCGATGTAATAGAAGCGTGCGGTGCCGCGTCACGCACGGCCGCAGCACGATGTTCCGTGACCGCCGACCTCCCGACCACCGGCGGCCTTTGACCAAACGATTTAGCAACACAGCTTGTGTCATTCTTAATGAAATAATAATGGATGCGAGTTTAGAATTAATGATTAGAATTTTATCTATTGAATCACTCATGTTGAATGATGCTTATTATACAAGTAACTTGAAGGAAGATTGAATACTCTGACACGATTGGTCCATACCGTGTGGGATGCCTCATTACAGTGTAGTTACAGTTCCAGAATTTTTCACGTAATTTCTGTACACATCTCGCAATGTAAGAAGAGGTCAAAAAACTTAATTTTTTCATGTTTTTGAGTTAAATTTCTAATATTTTGGCCCACTTCTAGAATACACTCGCGTGCTGGTGCCATTTTGTCCCCTGGTCGGCATTAGTCTATAAAAGTTCCGTCACTTTTAGTGCGAAAAACCTGACGTTGTTGCAACGAGCCTCCGATTCGCTTTGTTAACGAAATCGGGAAACGTAAAAAAGGCGTCACCGAGAAATTGTCAAATCCGACTGAAGCTCTTTAGCCCCGGTCGATTTTTCCCCCATTTGATCTGAAGACATGTCCGGAAAAGCCTGATTTCGAGCTGGCGGATTCCTGCCGCAAAATCTGTCCATAAAATCTGAACCATAAAATCCAGCTCCAGGGATAAGAAGAAGTGTGTTTTATTGATCGTTGCTAGTAAATAGTACGCAATCATAACATGAGCACGGAATATAACTCGTTGTGTTGATCAAAATTTCAAAATCCTTATGACTAGATTTTCCTGCTTAGTTTATACGCGCGTTAAGGTTTTATTTAGAAATTAATTTCTACAACTGTTAATATAATGCAAACCAAATATTAGCACGAACTAACCACAAATGTCCAATTATTTCCTAACAACAGCTCGGCCAACAAAGCAGTTTCAGTTGCATAACGCGATAACGCAGTGTCGCCAATTACGCTTGCATTCCTATTAGACTGTGAGCTCAGATTTCAATCTTCAGTGCACAAGTTTTGCCTTAGAATATGACGCAAATTTTTGACCACTTTATTGATGGATCCTCGTTTAGGACGAGCCGAGCATGAATAGCAACTTTGGAGCTCAGCCCTACACTCGCTAAAGAACATCCTTAGCGGCACAATGTGAACGGTCGAGATAAATGACGAAAGAATCATCCCTAATATCCCCCTAATGGCCTTCTCGATCTTTCCTTTCTGCACGCTTCCTTGACGCCACAAAGACCCTAGATATATAGGTAGCGTCCTCATCTTGATATGTTTCGTCACAAGTTGTTATACCTTGCTCATGTTATTACGACATCGTGTTCAACTCTTCTAAAGTATCCACAGAAGTATTATATTTTGATTATTCTCAAAAATATTCGCATCGTCTCCAAACATATTTTTACGACAATCTACATATATTCTTGAAGTGATAACAAATCTTATAGTTCCATGCGTAAAAAATCTACCATTTTAATAACAACAACCGATCTTTGTCTAATTTCCAGGAGTCTCTGCAAGCAGCGTCGACGACCATCAGCACGGCTACTCGTAGCTGGGCGAGCCTGCGCAGCGTGTCGGTGCTGGTACCTCGCTCGTGGACGCCATCAGTGTGCCCGCTGCTGCTGGGGATCACCGAGGCCGAGAATGAGTCTTGGGACACGGCAAATATTCGGGTGACCACTGCACAACATCCTCGGTACGGCATGAGACCATGGACCCAACAGAGCCAGGGCTGCGGCAAGCAAGGAGACTTCATAAGAGTTGCTCATCAGCTCCTCAAGCAGAATACTTCGCTTGTCAATGGTGAGTAATTTATATACAATTTATTTCGTATTGTGATTAATTGTAAACTGCAATTATGTAAATCTTGTTGTAAGCAATGCATAGATAAAACGGATTTAAATCTTCCTAAAATTTCTGTTAGTTGTGAAATTTATAACAAAACGACCATTTCAAATGGTGTTAAATATCTATAATTTTCAGAGAGTTTTTGCTACAAATCTATTTCCCACTATAATAATTGATTTTGGCAAGCCAAACAAACCACTAAAGTAAACGATACTTTCTCTATTTTCCTGCTGTCATGCACATTGATATTGATCCTTGAGATCCGACTTATAAGCCATGCTTTAGCATGCATGGTATTAGGAATACGTGAGTAAATGTGCGTTCGTTTGCTTTCCTCTCCTTTGTTTAGCCGCCACTTGAGTTTTTAATTGCATGCATGTTGCATCAATCACTGGAATTTCTACCCAACCATGTCGAGCTCTGCAGATTTGCAGTCTCGCAAATCCCTTCATTAGATGAACCAAAACACTGGCCTGCCGTGCAATTTATTCCGATCATGCAAATCAGACTGAATTTGTCGGTGGGGCTGTGCGGTCAAGACTTTCGAACAGCACTAATGTATTGAATAGCTAAATGTAGGGCGAATCTTGTATTAGACGCATTATATTCGCCTGTAAACTTTTGATTAATGACAGCTTATTTGCCTCGTGCTCCTGAAGCCGAGAATGTATTTAATTATCTGATTATCAATGGAATGGGTTCTTGTTTTAAATATTTTAAAATGTTATAGTTTGGGACGCAATTTCAAACGTCCTTATACTTTACTCGAAAACAATATGTCGTTACTCACTCGTCAATCGCAGGTTCGAAAAGAAAATTTAGACGAAAGAACGAGGATTCGTTTAAATTTGAATCTTGGTGTATTGCTATTAGTTCTGGTAAGCATTATGATTCCTAGAAGATATTCAATTCGTTTACGCATTCTTTTACTAATGAGTTGTTTTAGCCACATACTGTTGGTCTATTTGCGTCTATAGTTCCTTAATATTCTTTTAAGCGTATAATTCGTTGTCAATAAATTATAGTTACATTTTGCATACGATCTTCTGCAACGGGCCTTCCGTCCTCAGTAAACGTAAAACTTACTGCGGCTACCCGCACTTCAATGGCACTATACTTCTGAGCTCCTTCCTCGAATCTATCGATTCAAGTCATTCTTTCACCAGAGTTTTGTGGCCTGAAACGTTGCTGTGGGGCGATGAAGCGTGAACAGCGGCTCTAGAACTGGAACATGCTCTTAAATAGACATCCACGAGTGCTTCGAATACCTGTGAAGTTATTAGCAATTCTGAACACCAGTGAAACAGATTTTGTGGGCGGATACCTGTGAGTTGTTGGGCGTATGATTGCTGGTTTTCTCGTGCAATAATCGTTCTATGCGAGTTCTGATCCCATCGCTGATGTTCCCAAGCATTCCTTGTCGAACTCATTCCTTCTGTCCTGCAATGCCGCTCGTGAAATCTCCCGAGGCTGTTCCTTGGAATGCTTGGTATGCTTCGAGTTTATTTTTAACATTCTCAATCTGTTTCACGAATGCCTCTGGTATGGTGTAATGCCCATTTATGCTCTGATTATAACAAATCACAAACTTCGACCTACTTATTTTAACTAGTCACCATTGAGCAAATTCAAAGTTTAAATTTACATCTATCATTTATTATGTGTATTGGATCTCATTCCTTTCACAATTTAGATCTAAGTACTTGATGAATGATGTACAATGCTTCAATATTCTGGTTGGTCGTTATGCTCGCGGGACATTGATCTCATCTTTTTAGTTTCTTTGTACGTTTCCCGTTTCTTTAACTTTTGTGTTTTAATTTACTACCAAATTCTAGAGTCGTGCCCCTTGTGGTGAGACAGGAAATTAGTAGCGGGCGCTGCGCAGACGAAGCTTGTAGACGAGATTAGCACCGACTTTTGCGATCATCCGGCGGCTTCTCTGCCGGTTACACCTGAAGATGCTCTATACTTAAAGAATAATTTCTGATGTTCATATAAACTGGGGATCAGTAATCAAAATCAAAATTTGGGATTGTTTGGTTGACATTGTATATTGCATTCATTCATAATGCAATCGTAAATCTTGCTCCTGATTATTCTCAAGATTCCTTTGATAAAACGATAGTGTTAAGGTCTTATAACATATAAGATTACTCTCCTTACCTATATAATCACGGAATGCCCATTACTCAACTGCGGTATACCTCGGAGCCGTTGACCTTGAACTTTTTGCAAACTTTTGGAATTCCTTAATTGATTATTAAGAGAAAATGAAAATCCGAATCTCTGTGACGAGAGCGCGATGATGACCATGAAGATGACGCTCATGTCATTTCCGTGCAATTGATTTTCTGGGGCCCAATTAATGACGTTGCGAGGGGAGCTCGTGACGCAGGGTGCGAGACCGTCACGTTTAAGCCCCTTGACGCTTGGTCGTCTCGTAATTGTTGTGAATTCATTTATTTCTGATTGTTAAGAAATATATATATAATATATACATATAAAAAATTTGTATATTCAAATTATCACTGAATTTTGATTTTTATTTTTTTCCATCAACGATTCCCCTAAGATTTGACTATCAATAATAAAATTGAGATGTCCAAGGATCATAGAGATCCAAGTTTCATGATCCTATGGGCGAGACTCCTATTAGCTTAAACTTATGATGGAAATAAATCATCAGGCTGGAGTCGTAATTACAAATATTGATGTTTTCCAATGAAATTAACTGGAAACTTTCGGTGGTCCTAACTTTTCATCATACAAGAGCACTAATTAGATTTTTTATATTAATTTAGTCATTTGATCGGAGTTACAGAACGCTTCCATTTTTCGCACGAGATTTTTGGGCAGTACATCAAATGTTTTTCGAACTTAGCATGAAGTTTTTTTTTCAACTGGAAAAATTTACCACTCCACCAAGCAAATTTTATGCCAAGGTTCTTGTTTTTTGTTATGAACTTTATTTTTATTTATCTATTTTATTCTGAGTGGCTCTAATTTTCCGCTTCGTCAACTTACCATCGCCCCAAGACTTTCTGAATCTCGTCAAATTTTTATGAGGACCAACAAGAGATTCGTCGCAAAGCCGTGACTCTAAATTATGAAAAGAACCCCAGTCTCGGGTTTAATGGTCGACGCGTGCGCCAAATGTCACTTTAGCACACATGTAACTGACCGCTGGAATGGCTGCCGTGAACTTCACTTCTCTTGATAAGCTTCATTCTTGGTTGATTGTGATCAGCTCATTGATTTCGTGGTAATATTAAGTCGAATAGTTACATCGGTAGTTATCAAGCAGAGAAAAAAACGGTACGAGAAAGGTAGGAGAACATTTTTTCCGCGGGTAATGTTAATGGAGGCTAATAATTTCCCCTTAAATCATATTTTTGGCTAATAACACAAAAATATTTTCCGCCTGGTCGCATTTTTTCCTCTACGATATAATTTCCTTCAGTGAATTAGTTAATATTTAATCAAAAAGCGGACAGAATTTCTCAAACCATTTTAAATTTGGATAGGTTTCATCCTTGAAACTAATGATACGTTAAATACGAAAAACCGTGCGGAATAATTTTTTGCCATAGATTTGACTTGTAACAGCGCTCGTCACTTTTTCATCCACATCGTTATCCTGTTTTGATATTTGCTCTTCCTTATGCCCCGAGGTTTTATATACTCCTGTTCTAATATTATATATATATATATTATGTATTCTATATATAATATAGAATCTATAATTCCATCCACGTTGTATACGCTTCCACGTATGAGCAACTCAGAAGTAATTGACACTGCGGGGAAAGAGATCTCCTATGTACGCATCATTGGAGTTATATCGAGTATTAGTGACGTTTAACCTTACTGTGCATTCTGGTCAACATATCCGTGTTCGCTAAATGACTGTAAATTGGCGGTTGGGCACCCGCGAGGGAATTACAATCAGGTTTGGCTTTATCATCGAATAAGTCACACGTGTATTGATTAGAAGAATGCAACATTTATCTAAGAAAACATTCTATAGCACTCCAATTCGATATATCCTGAAAAAAAACGTTATATTCTATGCTGATAAATTATGACAGTAGTGATTGTGATGGTGATCGACAATAACAAATCTCGTCGGGATCAGACACTCCAACATGATCGACCAAAGACATTACCGCGTGGGTACAATTTAGGCTCCTGTAAAGCAATGTCGGCAATTCTTGCTTTCTAAAGAAAGATGCATCGTGACTGTTCGACAAGACGCCACTGCTAAGGAATGGGACCTGTGTCGTAGCCCCATGATTATTCCCCACGGTTAGAATTGATAGAAGTGAGATTAACGAGAAAATTACTCCAGGCCTTTCGTGGCGTCTCAAATGAAGGGGTTCTGAGCCATGAATGATTCAGCTCTCGCAGCTAAAGCAACATTCCGTTGTGGCTTCTTGCCACTCGCCACCGAACTCGTCTTGGAACGAAATCCCGCTACATTTTTGCCCATCGCAAAACACTTTCCAAGTTCTGGAACAATCCTAATTCAAATCACAGGTTTTTTAGCACGCATTCAAACTTAGGGGAAATCAATGCCGCCCACAATATGTCGATAAAATCCTGTAATTATATTTATCAGTTATCGCGTTACGCTGATTCTTCGTCGATTCTACGTCGCCGCGTAAAGAGTCCCACTAAACGACCACGGCGGGAAGGACTTTGTCGTATCGGGCTGGATGGCGATCACGAAAGGTCCTGCAAGAGCTACTTACTTCAGAAATAAATTACAGTCGGCCCTAAAATTACGCGCGAAGAACCGGATGCCTCACAATGAGCCGCTTCCTCGGAAGATTCGCCGTCAGATTCCTTGGGAAAGTTAATAAGTAATTAAAGAACCGACAGGCTCCCTCAGTAGCAGTGTTGACGTGACAGGAATTTTGCGAGTACTGCTGATTTCATCAATTTCAGATACTCTGTGATTATTTCTGCTGCGTGGTCAATTTCAGATGTGATTATTTTACTCTTGAATTTGTTCAGTGAATCCCTAAATGTGTGATAGTACCTTAAGACCGATCCAATTATATTATATGCCGCATAATATGCGGTATTGATAGATCATGGGCACAAATCGTCCTTCAGCTTCTTCCAAACTGGACGATTCTACAATTTCATTCTACAGCTTTAAAATGCCTCTTATGTTTTAATGTTAATTTGTAATATAGAATATTGAATTTTGTTCTTTTATCACCGTTTAAATACTTTCTTCTCGAAGTTCTTAAAATATTTTTTTCTTTGTCAGGCCGGCTTCTGGCCCACGAGTGGCTGCGATATCGCTATGGAGTGTTCGAAGAGGTAGGAGAAGTTGGCAACCCCTTCCACCCGCCCCACTACCGCGCGCGCAACGCTCAGTGGAAGCCTAACGCTTGCGGCAACCGAAACATCGTCGAATCTGACTCGTCTACGTGCGACCCGAAGGAGTTAGGATGTGACCTCGACATCAAGCAGGAAGATAATCCCGGCCTCACATCCTCTTTCATGGCTTTTCCTCGTATCCCATCGGTAAGTTTTATTATCTTAAATATCGTTCAGTTTAATTCAATTTAAGTAAGTGGTCTGTGGGCATATTCTTGTCTGCTGTTTACCCGAAATCCCAAAGCCATCTTTAAATATTACGTTCCCTTTCAAATTCTTTTTAGCTCTAAGGTAAACTCTACTCTTTCATTGTAGTATTAATTATATATTCCAAGCTCACTCCCGTTCTTTCGTAAGTTCTATAACACAAGACTTGTTGGAAAAACAATATTCAATCACAGAACACGTTCTTTAAAGTAGAATATCCATGTGCGATTTGCCTCCCACCTTGCCCATATCTGATAATAATTTAAATGGTCAAATTAAGACCTTAAGTTACAGTTTTTTGACCGTACACCATCAGCTTGCATTTCGCTCAAGTTGCGGCCGCGCTTCGAAGCTAATATGATCGAACACTTCACTGCGTCGTAAGTGCTTCCCTCCAAGCGCGACCACACACACCTCCTTTTTTCCTTGCGCTTGCTTATTGACTCTATAGTGAGAAATATCGCGCTATTTTTGACGGTAATTTCCCGTTAAAGACTCGCAAAACATCCGAGATTACAACAGGAACAAAAAAAATGTAACAAAAATTACCTTGGAATTTTTTTTCTTTAGACACGGGAAAGGGAAATTTCTCTGTAAGTCATCATGTTATCTATACATGGACTGAGGTATATATAGGTTCGAAATTTATGAAAACAACAGCATTTTTATTATACCGTTAATTAAAACATTTGAACTTTTCGAATAACATTTCGTTGGAATAATATTTTTAATACCTTACGAACTAGATATGCCATCAAAACATTTTTCATGCATTTGAATACTAATATATTTTATTAACTCTAAAATATAATTACATAAAATATAAATAACATATATTTTATTACTTGAAATGATCAAATCCTCGTAGACGACTTAGGGGCGCGAAAGCAGATACATACCGTTTCATCAGGGAACACTTGAACTTTTTGAATGAGAATTCGCTGGAAGAATCAAGACATTTTTTATAAATGTGAAAACCTAAGAACTTATATCCCTTATGTTTAAAATGACAAAATGCTCGTTAAAGACTTAGTGGTTTGTAAGCAGAGACTGAGACGATGCATGACGGCAGGCAAGCGTCCCTCATTGCGTTCATGTGAAGACGAGCTCTCATCGACACTCGGGGCTCGCCGCCCCCCGCCCGCGCTCCGTGTCTCACACACCCTCCGCTGTATCCCGTTACATCCCAGGCATTGCCTTACAGGCTTAATATTATTGACGGAATCTTATTATAACAGGATTTGCGCTTTTAAACTTTATATTGTCATTGGCATTGACCGGCTTGTGGAATATTATTTTAACAGGATTTACGCTTTTAAGCATTAGATTGTCATTGGCATTGACCTGCGTGTGGAATCTTATTCTAACAGGATTTAGTTCTTTAGGCAATAGATTGTTCTGGGCATTGCCTTAAGTTCTCTAATGCCAACGAAATCTTATTTTAACGGAATATATTTTTAGGCGTTTTTTTTTTCGAGGCATTGTCTTGCAGTCTCTCTAGTGCTGGCAGAATCTCATTTAATGATTTTTTTTAATATACTCTGTTGCTGAATACACAATCTTACCCAACTGTGGATATTATGATTAGAAGAATTACATTTACTAACTGTATTTTAGTTAAATCCATCAGCGCATTTATTTCAATCGGCTATAAGCAGACGCGGTTCTACCTAAAGCTCGATAACCTGAATTGTTTACGTTTGTAGATTACTTCACACTAAACATAATAATCAATTTTAGAATTCAACTACTACATATCAACCCTCATTTCAAAATATCATTTTTTATTCCAATCACGATTCTTATCACAAGTTGAACAAGCGAAATTAAATCTGATTTATTATGTTCTATGAGATTGCAATAATTTAATAATGACGTTACTTATTATTAATATATGTACATTATTACAATGAAGTCAGACCGTAAAGTCTCGTCCCAATGCTCGTTGTTGACGAGTTAAATCGAGGGCAACCGAGTGCAAGAAAAGTCTTTAATTCAGCGAGGATAATTCATGCTTCCCTGCGAGAAGTAGGCTCTTTAATTCTTTCGATAACGGCGCGTAATGACACGCATGCGCGCGTGTGTGACGTCACACTTCATGCGCACGCTCATTCAGTCTCAGCCGCAACACGCACACACCTTCCGCGGAGTGTGACATCGCGTGGCTTGTCGCTTCTGGGCTGATATCACCTCAGTGATTTCTATTCATATATTTTCGCAATTCTGTGTTCAAGCTTTGATATCGACAATAGCCTATAGATTCTGATTATTTCATCAGAAAGCAATCTGCAAATTGATCGATTTGTTCTTTCGGTAAATCATGCAAGCGCAAGAAAGATATTGCAATGCTCCTTTATTCCAAATATTTTAGGCCTAAATTGTTTCACTCGTGACCTCAATTCAATTTCCCCGTCACTTCAGACTTTCCCTGCTGTTTATACGCCATACATGATCTCTTTCATTGATGTGAGCTCACAACACCTCAGCCGCCCAACCCACTACGCAAGAGCATTTAACCCGAGGCCCCGAGAGCATGACACAGTTTCTCGGGTCTATAATAGCTCCTTGTCTCACGTCCCAAGTTCTTATGATGGACTCATGGCTCTGTCATTACCGCTCTTCCACTGCACCGAGCGTCCTGTCTACGTATGAACGCTGTACGCAGCATCACTCCGACTTCGGTGCAAAGAGCGATCCAGCTGTTTAACTTTTGCTTGCTGTGTTTGAAGCATCAAGCTTACCGTCGCTATTAGATAATGAACCTCATTTCATTTCGTAGTAGCTCATTTCAATTCGTAGTAGCGGTGTTTCTTGTGTCAAGGTTTAAAACGAGTTTCAGAAAACGTATATAATATAAAAAAAAACATTTGCTTCATAGAAGTATTTATAATAGTTTAAACATAAAACTATCATCGAACTTCAACTTTCACTGTACTTATTCATTAATACGCGACCATAATTCCGAATCACGGAACATTTTGTACTAATGTTTGCTTAAATTTTGGACTCAATTTAAACTCTTCAATATTTTTATTTAATACATTTTGTAGATCATAAATTAGAGCTGTCCGTAAATGAGCACTACGACGGATGCCTTGGTCTAGTCTGCTTCCACGTGGTCGCGCTAACGCCAGTTGTCAGCTGTGATCGACGGCGACATGTTAGTCATTCACGCTCTGATTTCATCACGCTGTATCCTGCGATGATTCTTGTCGCTTCTTAAGGATATAATGCGGCCTTTGCCGGCGACGTTGATTATATTCGCAGTTTAGTTCTTCACGGTGTCTGATGTCTGAGAAATCTTACAACCAATGCCTTACTTGCTCAATATAATTTATATTACCCACTCAATCATGATATTTTAATGTCAACTTGCTTAGTCTAGTATATTATTACAAATTTAGCTTCTCTACCAGGAGCAATGCTTCTAAAATACTAAAATTTTACTAAGGGCCACAAACTTTCTCCTTCAATGATATAAAAAATATTTTGATAGCAAAATTATTTCACCCTGTGAGATAAAATCGGTCTAATAAAAATTGAGAATCTGTAAACCGAGAGCAACTGGCACGTATTGCTGATAGTTTCATTTTTTTTTTTTGCCCCGTGACAGGACAATGTAACAACAGTGTTAGCTGAAAACTACAATGTTATTCTTAATTTGCAGGTAACCGAACTCTGCGACGAAGGCAGTCATGACCGTTTCGTTCCGACCCGCCATAACCTCGCGTGTGACGGGAAGAGCGTTTGGGAGGTGATGAGAGCCAGCCAGGACTTCCAAGACTCCAGGTAATGATAAATTCGTGGATGCAAATCTCTTCAGTCTTAAGTAAATTACTGTCCTAGTATAATACTACTTACGACGAAGAAAGCATATCTCACATTAAGAAATATTATGTGAAGCAATTTTTATTCATGATACTTTGATCGTTAGGAGTCGAAAGTGAATATGATTGAGTTAAACTACTGATAAATACTGCAAGACAAACTGGTGTACAAATTCCAAACAATGAACGTCCTGAACGATATTTGTTCAGGACTTTCGTGATTCATGAAAAGCAGAGACTTTTCACCATTGCCGAGACTTTTCAAACTTCTATGCGTTAGTATCATTCACAATATTACATGGTTATGAGATATTTCAGACGGTCGTCAGATTTTCCTTGATCAGGTGTTATTCTTTTTATTGCTTGTGATAAACAACGCACCTGCTTGATGTCTCTAAATCCTCGTATCCACCTTGTGCCTAACACTACATTTTGTAGTACATTTATTGAACAATTTACAAAGCATTATGTTGTCAATTATCCACTCCTTCCCTGTGTCCATTGTTTGCATTCATTGAACAACTTACAAGAGTTCATGTTGCCAAATATCCACTCCTTCCCTGTGTCCATTGTTTGCCTTCATTGAACAACTTACAAGGCTTCATGTTGCCAAATATCCATCCCGTTGTCGACCGTGTTCATAACACCGCATTCCCTGCGCAGTAACAGCGAAGGCCGAGCGGTGGACAGCCTCGTCTCGCTACGCTATCTTCACCCCCGCAACAAACGCATTGTGCTCCTCGTCGACGACACCAACGTTATGAACTCACAGGTACAAAAATGAAAAAATTCACTATTTAAATAGATTTTTTCCAAACATTAAATTGTTAGAATAGTGCTTATATATCGTGTGTTGCGATTTAATGGAATACCAAGGAAAATAATTAACATATGAAACAAACGCTGAATTTGTCGAGTCCTTGTAAGCCTTCAATTACAATTACTTCGTACAGGCGTCGATGGTGCATAGAAAAGATGAATCTCCTGGCGACGTATTAATATCTGACTTGTTAACGTTACTTTTGCTTTCATGAAGCTTGGCTGTCAAAGATGTGAATCTCGGTGAATTTTCCCAATGATACCATTATGAACATAATTTTATAACGTTTAAAAATCTTTCAGAAACGTTGGGACTTCATGAGGAAGGCTGTGAGGAAAGTGGTTGCTTACGACATCCCCGATGGCTTCCGTGTTGGCCTCGTAGTTTTCGATAGCAAGGCGAAGGTGAAGCACTTCGTGTCTCCTCTCGTTGACAGCGAAATCAGGGAAAAAGTTGGATCGTCCTTGCCCCGAAATCCATCAGTAGTTGGAGAGACACAGAGATGCGTCCTTTGTGGCCTGAAAGCGTCGCTCGAATTGCTGAAGAAGAACGGCGGCAGTCATGGTGGTAATATCATTCTCGTCACAGGAGGCAGCAGTACAATCAGTGAACATGATAAGCTTAAAGCTCAAATCATGCTGCAAGACGCCGGCGTTACTCTGAACCTTGTTATCTATCCTCTAATTGATCGTTTCCCGCTTCCTGGAAGTAACCTAGAGTATGTAACTGCAATTTCTGGAGGTCAGTCTTACATCGTACCAGATGAAGGCATCGGTGAAGATTCTCGCGTCGGCATGTACTACGGTCTTTTGGACGCGCTTTACTACGCGGTAGGCAATGTTGCAGGATGGCGAGGTCTCCCTGTTAAAATCCACGAGGCTGAACATCCGGGTGGACGTTCAGGAAAGTCAGAAGGGAGTTTCCTTGTCGATCCTTCGCTTAGCTCAAATATAAATTTCGCAATTTTCTTCTATGATGTAGGACATGTTGGAAATGTTGTCCACCTTATCAGTCCTCATAACCAAGTAATCGATACCAGCAACATGCAAAATGAAGATGAGAACATGAACATGATCAAGGTTCAGCTGTCAGGCAGTCAAGTTACTCCAGGTCTTTGGCGGTACTCAGTAGACAACAAAGCTGACTCCCATCAAGGACTCTTCATTCAAGTTACGTCAAAGCCGTACTCCCCTCAGTACGGTCAATCCTCACAGATAGAAGTTAGAGGCTGGACCAACCATCCCACTGGAGAGGTCAACTCTACCGACATTTCCATGCCTCTTGCAATTTTCGCTGAAGTGGTCACTGAAGCTGGACCCGTCGAAGGCGCTCGAGTTACTGCTAATCTCACCCGGCTTGGCTTGGCAAGCAACGGAACCCTCCACAAACCTAAAGAAATAGTTCTCTTGGACAATGGATTACTAGGTGAGCCGCCCTGATTTTTTTATAACGATGTGCTTCACTTACAATTTGTGTTCATGGGCTTATGGCAACTTATTTAAACTTCCTAGTTATAAAATAGCGTTTATTAATTATTTTCCAAAATTATTCACCTTTGTGTATTATTTACTAGATAAATTTATTCGAAATTAGTTTATTCTGATAACTCATCTGAATATTCACTTTTCAGGGCCGGACATGATGTCGGGAGACGGAGTTTACTCTCGCTATGTTCCCAACCTCACCACGGGCAAATTCAGTGTAACCATTTACGTTGAAGGAACTTTGGGCCAATACTCGTTCGCTCGACACGTTCGACTAGGGGTGTTGAACATCATTTCGTCAACCCCAGATGTTGACGCTATTCCTCCTGCACGCGTAGTTGACCTGCGAATGGCATTCTTGCCTGGCACCACCAATCAGATTTCTTTTACTTGGACGGCTCCTGGTAATGACTTCGACTACGGGACTGCGGATCGCTACATGGTAAAAGTTGGTCCGACGCCAGATCTAGAAGATGGCGAATATTCTTTCTTAGAAAATTGGCCCGCTCCTTTGGAGGCTTCTACTATTCAGCAACACACAATCGAATGGGCCAATTATGACACAGTCAGTTACGTTGGGATCTACGCTGTCGACGAAGAAGGAAATACTCCTTCCTTGAGCAACTTAGTGACCGTTTTCATCCCAGCTCCACCCACGACCACGGCTTCATCTCGGTTCTTCGAGTTGATGGACTCCAACACTTCCCCAGTTCGGGATGGCAGCGCTACTCCTTTGATGGCTGGTACGAACTTGAAGTTGGTCATTATTATTTCTGGGTGCGTCGTTGGCTTATTAGTCGTCTGTGCGTTGACTTACTGTGCTTGCGTGGCTCAGAAGCCAAAAAAGAACAAAAAGGCAGGTGAAATTCCTGCCACTTTCAATGGGCAAGTTATCATTCCTGATGAAAAGAAATTCACTGACAGGACAGACTCTAATGAGAGCATCAAGAAAGAATTCATGCGTCCTGTTGAATCCTGGTCAGCATCCCAATTACTGAGCAGCCACCAAGGAAACAAAAGGGGTAGCGTTTCAGCAAGATCTGACGGTACGTCTGATCACAGCGACTCGACCAAGAAAAGTTACACAGGATTCTCTGCTAACAACGACTTCTACGGCAGTCCAAACCACTTCCAGTACGGCCATGCGATTTATCCTGATAGCTACCCTCCTCCAAGCACTGATAGCTACCCAACCCCTACAGAAGGATACCCTACTCCTTCTGAGATGTATCCTAACGAAGGCTATCCTCTTCCTTCCGAAACCCGCTCTTATGTAAGCTCACCTCCATCCGAGTCTTTCTTGTCGGTCTCTTGCGATTTAATCCCCGGTACTCATGGTCCTCCGGGCTATTCAGCGTACCCAGGATACGACACGACTTTGAGGTCTGGTAAAGTGCCTCCTCCAATTCCGCCCAAGCCCAAAGTAATGTATTCTCCAGAACCTTATCAATTCGATTCTCAGGACTCGTCTTCGGGCTCGCCTTCCATGGCTGGCGCCGAGAAGCGGGTACGAAATGTTACAATGGTTTAATAATTGTGTATAAATTTTAGAGTGCGCACTCAATGTGAGGGGCATTACATCGCATCTTAATTCGTCCCTTTGGACTGACTTTTCGACTTGAAGACGTAGTCAGTCCAACGTGATTGTGATTTAGGAACATAGGCTAGGCTATGGAATTAAACTTACGATGTATTTGTCATTCTCGAAGACATAGGTTTATGTTGTACAGTCTACGTCATATGTTATTTCGCACGCAAAAACATAAATCTTCACGGTTAAAAAATATTAATAAAATAATAAATTGTTGATCTCATCGCGTAAGCGATTCCTATATGCAAAATCGCTTCAGGAGCAGCTTTGCACTGAGTTATTGAACAAATATTTATTGACACCGCGATCAAGGCGATGTATAAATAATGTAAATAGTAATTGTCTTAACTCTATGTGTATATCTCGACGTGCCAAGACAGAGATGGAACCGAAATAGAAAAGTTGTCTTCAAAATTCGTATGATGCCGATTATAAAGTATAATAGACTCTCTGGAATCCATTAAAAAAAATTTTTCAGAGATCTGTCTACACTGAAGCTGGTCAACACTGATTTTACGACTTCTGATTGGATTCAACCTATGATTTTTGGATTATGATAACCTCGTAAATTCTAAGCTAAATTAATCAGGTCTGTGTTTTCTCAAAATAATTCCCAATTTATGATTTTTGGCTTATGATGGCCTCGTAAATTCTAAATTATTCAGGTCTGTGTTTTCTCAAAATAATTCCATGTAGTTCCGATATATCACGTACGAATAGCATCATCCTACCAGTTCTTTCTCAACCCTTAAATGATCAAGGCAGGACTGGAACTCATGTTTGGCCTTCTTCACGTTCAGCTTACACTAAAGAATGACTTGGTGGAATCCTCAATTTAACTTCTAGTAAAACGTCTCGGTTTGCAAGTCTTGTAATAGTGACACCTTATGTATTTCAGTTATTCATAATCAACAGCTTAATATTAAGCGAAATGTTTCGTGAATAATAAGTTTTAACTCGCTTCAATTTCCATCTGTGATTTGAATGTCATTGCATTTTTCAATTGCCGATAATAGTTCCCGTAGATATTATTTCACAGAAAAAATTGAATGTCATTGCATTTCTTTGCCGAAAATAGTTCCCGTAGATATTATTTCACTGCACAATTCTATTGTATTAAAATTCCTTATTATTTGCAAAATTTCATCGTAGTCTTTTTAGTCTAAGTTGTTCGTGCATCGAAGGCGAGCGCGTTCTAGTCACTCCGTCCTGCAGTGGTCTATAATCTTGAAGAACTCTGAACAAAATACGAATAGATTCTTATCGTGAGCAGTGTCTTAAGAATATTTCAATTGTACTTATGTAAAGTTTGTAGTAATTATATTTGGACTGATTCTCAATCTGAATTTGATTTTTGTTGTGAAATTAGCCTCATCATTTTAACGAACTTGTTTGCATTGGATGATGGTAAATATTCATGCACAGTTTATTAAACGATGTAATTAGTACATTTCATGCGTGTGCTCTCACAAGAACTCTTTCAAACGATATTTAATATCAAAATGTTATTTGAATTTATAATTCAAGTAAGTCGTTCATATTGGGTCTATTAATGAAATCCCGTCACAAATTTTGCATGGTCTCTGTTCCAATTCTATGTGTTGTACAGTTTTGTTATGTATTACTGTTGTGTACGTGTGAATACACTTTTCTACTTTCGTGTACATTTATAATAAATAAATAATATTATTGACAATATCCATTTATTATTCATGCCTTCAAACTTATTGTATAATCGTGGGATTACTTGAATTTTCATTATTAAGTTTCATAAGAAAGTTACTAGATAACCAGTTTAGACGATTAATGTGTATCGGCCTTCAAACTGTTTGAATTAATCTAAATTGTCGTATATCAGATCATTACATGCGCAATCGACTTCCATAACTTCTATTTTTGTTAAGGAAATAGCGCGAAATATCTTAACGTTGAATGGAATTGTATCGGTTAATCCCATCTACTCGCGTCTCTTCAAATCTTAGTGAGCTCCACTAAGGACGAAATTTCCACAGTTGTTCGGCGGCGGTGGCAATTCTTCGACAATCATGGGGATGGGGATTTGGTCCCAGTAGCCGGGGAAACGACTTCCGGTGGATCTGGAAATCAAATAAAATATGTTGGAGAGTAGAGGAGAATTTAAAAAAAAACTTGTACCCGCATATTTCTAATTGACGTCTCATTTAAAATTGAAGTCTCGTTTTAAAAAATTCTTTCAAGATGTTTTTGAAACATAAGAAAGGAAAAATTCGGCCCAACTACACTTGATCGCAAAAAAATTTACACGATTCTTGAAGTCAAATTCCCACGCCACTATCGTGAAAATTTATCCCTCAGCGTTTTAAATTGATTCAGCTGTACCAGTGTCCTATGAACTTAAACTCAGCCGATTTAATTTAAATAATGAAAAAATTATCCACTGATGTTCAATTATAATCTTTTATTCAATTTCCAGTGCTCCATTGGAAGTGAATATGAGAACCGCGGTGCGAACTGGACTAGAACATGAATCAATTAATTCGCACCGTATTGAATTGAAAACAATTCTAATAACACTAGCCATACGTGTGTATCAATCACACTGTGTTCAGTTGTACCGATTAAAGTTCGTTCAAATTCAAGTAAATGTGCGGGAGTTAAGTGTGCAAAAGGTTATAACACTTGATTATGAACGTCAGACTTTCACGTACGGTAAGTTTTCATTTTTGGTCGTGAAAATTGTTTCTATATATTTGTATACAGCAACTCACTTGTTGCACTGCATGGATATTGGGGCAGTGTCGTAAAAATCTCCCAGAAATTTGGCTCGTAGCGGCGTCCAGTCGATCGAATTGTAGTTTCCCCTCCAGTCTCGCGTCGGAGACGTTTTCTGTAACTCGTACCTTGGAATGACAGGAAAGTGAAACGCTCAAATTTACGTTTTAAGTGAATTTTATAAGTGCTATTATTTTCAGATTTCAGATATAAACGCCATTATTTTCGTATCAATGGATAATTCATGCTAACTATATGTATATAGATATACCTAGTTCTCTGTATATAGTATATAGATGGCACTAATGATGAATGGAGAAAGCAATTAGTTGCACGAAATGGTCAGAAAGAGGAAGGAAAAAATGAATTGACAAAAGTAGACGAAAAAAGCGGTAGCATAATGACTGGGTCATTGCTGGGCTAAAGTAGTCTAGATTCGAGATTACTAAAGCCACCCTCAACATGAGCTTGTGACCCCGAACCCCTCGTTAATTCAGTAAGAATTAAATGGTTATAATTATAATTTCATTTAAGGCGAGCTATTCACGAGATGAATGAATAAAAAAATTACTCAGCACTGAATAACTCTCATTCAAGTATGCAAAACACACTCTCATTTGAATATAATACACAGTCAGCGATTGTTGTACCTTGGAACTGTGCTTACGTAACATATGGAGCAAGATTAATTCACACGTTATTTAAAGCAGTTGCAAATGCGAGCTCAGAACTAGCTCACCGCTAAATCTCAAGAACTCAATTATTCAATAAGTCAAGTTGGTCTTTGCTGTCCACTGATGGTTGAAGTACATGCTTATTTTGTACCTGTATTTATTACCACGGAATCAGTTTTTTCACTTATTGTATTTATTACCATGGAATCAGTTTAATGGTGGCCAAATAATTATCCTCAAAGCATCTTTCCACTAAAAGAAACATTAATATTTATTACCCACTTATTCAAGAATTGAAAGTATTGATGTAGAGCCTTCGTGTCAACAGAAGACTTGCACACTTCAAGATCAATTTTAGGGAAGTAGTGGACGTAAGTGACGCACATCTCGTCACTAATTGCAAATCCACCAGTGGTTGCATTGTCGCGGTCCAGGGTTGAGTACTCGCACGTTGTCACCAAACTGTCACCCTTGGTACAGTGGAAAACGAATGATAATTATTCATATAAGTTCAAGTATGACCGATATTTTCTTGCGTTAAGTGTACGAACGATAAAAAAAAAGTTATATCGCAAAAGTTTAAGGATGGATTAATGAAACTTCAGAGCTACAGAGCACTTTTAGAGAAAAAGAAAAGGATTTAGAAGTAAAAAAAATATTCAAAATGAATACAACCAACAGTATTTAATTCTACATTTCGATGGTTTAGAAGGCTTCAACGCATCACTCGTTTACTGGGTTATTCAACTCAAAAACCATTATAGTGAAAGTAAAAGGAAGCTTGTATACCGACACATTTGAACGCTTATGGCGCTAAGTCACATGATTAGCTATTAACTTCAGGAAGCATTTACGTTCCTCACCGGTTTGATTTGCACGAGTCTCGGAAGCCGACGTATCTCTTGGAAGTGTGTGGAGAAGTGGTTGTCTCTGTTCATTTCTGGGAGTTCTCTGCCCTCTCTGTAGTGCTTCACCCAAACACGAACACCCGTAAGGTGGGTGTGCAATTGAGACCCAAATATGTAAATCCCCTCAGGTGGTATGCTCTGGAATAGAAAAATATATTTAATTTAAATTAGTACCTAGATTTGAACTAAGAATTTACACACAACTTGTAAATAACAGTTCCACTTGAATCTCCAGAATCACCATGAGTTGTGATTGAACTTCTCTTATTAAATTCGATAGAACAGTGGAACGTGTTGCGTACAGATAAATTAACCGACGGCACTGCTACTCGAATCTGAAGTTATGGTAGCTAGAGTTATCTTCAGAAGTCAAAGAGTAAAACAAACGAAGTGAAAAAGGTCGAGAGTGATCGACTTATAGACAGAATTGCGGATGAATTCCCTATAAGCGGATGAATTCCCTATAAGCGGACGAATGCCCTATAAGCGGATGAATGCCCTATAAGCGGATGAATGCCCTATAAGCGGATGAATTCCCTATAAGCGGATGAATGCCTTATAAGCGGATAAATTCCCTATAAGCGGATGAATGCCCTATAAGCGGATGAATGAACTATCAGCGTATGAATGCTCTATAAGCGGATGAATGCCCTATAAGCGGATGAATGTCCCATACGCGGATGAATGCCCTATAAGCGGATGAATGTCCCATACGCGGATGAATGCCCTAAAATTTGCATCCCGAACTCTGATCAAACTCTCTCCTCACGAGGGCAGTACACTCCGGGATGCAGTATCCTGACAGGTTGAAGGAGACCACATGAGGCGGTATGGCCATTTTTTCCGTGTACTCTAAACCCAGTTCCATGATGGAGGCGTCGTGTGGTCGAAGGTCCTGAGTATAAGTCAACACCATGCCAGAACTGTCGACGCGACCTGAGGGATTTTATTCCTTAGTTAAATTCGTTAATTTCAAGTGGAACTTTGCATGGCAGTGGTTGTTAATCGCGAACTTTATTAATCTTTGACTTTGTTTCGACACGAGAGAAATTTATTTCAATCACAAACTGTAGCTACCAACAGGCTACCGATTTATGTTATGTTCTGTCCAGTGTAATGAAATTAATATTGTCTCTAATATAACGATATAATATAAATTATATCGTGAACAAAGTGTATACGTTGTCTTTAAATATCTTCAAGTGTTTATTCTCCTTTGGATTAGCGTTACATCCCCCCCCCTTTTCTTGCATTTATTTGCAGCTTTTTACTTCATTTAAAAACCAGTTTGTATAACTGATTCAATATTAGTATTTCTAATATTTTCCAGTAGCAGCGATGATATTCTTCTCCATGCAAAATTTAATAAAATTAAAAGACTGCATTCAAGTCGCAAAGCTCACCTTCCATTTTTCCAGGGTTGTTATAATGAACTTCCAGCATCACGAAGGGATTGAAATCTGGACCGCCCAGCGGTAAACCCGCTTCCTGGAAAATGAAAAATATTTGAATAACTATAACTTCATTATTTCTAATATATGCACGTTTTATTCCTATCTAAGATCATTTTTAAGCAATGCAATTTATACTTTGGGTAATCTTCAGGGTAATGCGGTTAAAAGACTTTAAAGGTAGGTATTAATTACATCACTTACTGCCGGGTACGTAAAAGAATTAGCGCCCATAGCCCAAGCTGCAAGAACCCGTTTACAAACGTCGATTTCTGGAGGCCGCTTGGAGTCATGGCAAAGGCCCTGAAGCAAAAATAATGCTCGTATTATTTTAATTATTAATAATTGTTATTAGTTATTTTGTTTGTTATTATCATGCATGGTAACGCATATGGAGTTTTAAGTACTGTAATATTTTTTATCCCGGTAGGGTTACGAACAATTAGAAGAACAAAATGCTCCAGAAAGTCCATCAAGAGTGAAGGAGTACGTAATCAATTACTATCCACATTTGAGCGAAATTTCTCGCGTTTAAAAATCTACGACTTTTAACCTCACAGAATTCCAGTATTATAGCTCAACTTTGTCGAACAAGGAATTTAAAAGCAAACAAAACGCTAAGAAAATTCACCATATCGATATTGAAAACGTTTCGGAGTCCAGCTCCATCATCAGTTCGACTAAACTAAAAATGAATAAAATCACTTTAAAAGTCAAAATTCAAAGACAGACATAAAACCTAAACAAGACCTAACATTTTATCGAAATAAACAGGACTTCTTGTCGCACCCCTAGGACTAAGTTGTTCATAACTAGTCCTGTTTATTTCGATAAAATGTTAGGTCTTGTTTAGGTTTTATGTCTGTCTTTGAATTTTGACTTTTAAAGTGATTTTATTCATTTTTAGTTTAGTCGAACTGATGATGGAGCTGGACTCCGAAACGTTTTCAATATCGATATGGTGAATTTTCTTGGCGTTTTCTTTGCTTTTAAATTCCTTGTGAACTTGCGATATAGGCAGACTAATGATATAAGTACTTATATACGATCAACTTTGTCGTAAACGCAATGAAATTTGGAGTTTGACCTGATAGAGAGGAACTTCTTTGTCGGGGGTAAACTCGCAGTGGAAGACTTCCATGTGATGGACGATGTCTTCGTTGCCAGACTGGATGCCAGGTTGGTACTGTGCACATCAGTTATTTGAAAATAATTACGATGTTGGAAATCAATTTTAATGTAGTTTTGTCTATTTTTGATAACAACATTTCCAGCAATAAGTGACTTGAGTGAAATTTCAAAACTAATGAGCACCACTGATCAACTCTCGGAATTGAAACCCAAGAAATTATGTTACCATATTATGTTATTAAAAAATTTGAAAGTAATGTATTCATTTTTGGAAAAACTAAACGTGTGAAGTTCAAAATGAATTGAATGCTATCATACCATTTCTTATTCTCATAACAATTTAAATATTCCAACCCAAGATCATAGAAACGGGTAAATTACGTGAAGAATGTGGTGCTTGTCTGCAAAATACGGTGGAAGCTTCTGCACGGAGCACCAGTAAGTAGTTTCTTCAGCTGGCACCGACACTGATTTCGCTGCAATCTTAAAAAACGTACAGACGTCAAGAATTCTGAATTATCGTAAATGTTATGCAAAATAAAAATGTATTCAATAAACACCATTCTATTTCCAAAGTACTATACCTACCAATATTTTATCCCACTTCGGCAACTTATGTGTGTATGATAATCAACTTATAAGTGCGTATATTTTCATTACAATGGCTATTTTACAAGGATTTGATTTATGGATTTATTTTTACAAGGATTTGATTTATGGCATATACCATAAATCAAATCCTTCTCAAGGACACATTGAAAAATATAAAAATTTCAAATTCAATAAATTTTCGAAAAAAAATCAATCGAGGACACAATGGCAAAGCTTTCTCAAGGACACATTGAAAGATATTCGCATCAGATTCCTACTTTTATTTCCTTGTACGACTTGACATTAGACGGAGGCCCGACAGGTGGCTTCAATAACTCAACCATAACGTGTCCCGTCTCGTCACCAGCTGCGAGTACCCCGGACAGCTGGTACAGGGGACCAGCTCCGTACGACCACACTAGGTGAGTTGTTCCACGCTGCGGGCAAAAATTTGATGCACATCAGAACGTCTTTTTTTATTGCAATTGAATAGTTTATTATGATAATTAAATGCATGATAATATAAATAACGTATAAAATTATTTCATTTATATATAAATTATTCATAGAAACAATTGTCGCTATGATATAGCTACAATCGTTTAACCAATTAATAATAATTCAAACTGCATCGTGGTAAGGTAAGGTTAAGTTAGACTGGAGTTTGTTTTTTTAATTACTTCAATGACGTAGTGACCGGGCGAGCAGGTGTCCAGTTCACGATAGAAAGTAAATTTTATGAGTTCGCGTTGGCGGCCAAAACGGAAATTTCGGCAAATGTTGTCTCCGCTTATCACCATCCTGCCGTGCTCGTCAACAAATGCATTCTGTGCGAAATTAAGTAGAGTTAATTCCATTACTTGTTTTTTTTTACTTAACAATTTTGATTCCAGCTTTATGAGTCCCCTTTGTGGATAATTTTAGTCTTTCTTCGACACTTTTTCTCCCCTGTAAACGTTCAACCGTGAATGAAAAAACATTTAATCTATAAATTTTCGATTATTTCTTATGAGCTTTAAATTTCAAAGCTCATAACCATAATGAATTACTATACACAGGAATTTTTTTTACAAATAGTTGATAAATTCGACATCCAAATTTATTTGAAAATATTAACAGAGCAATTAACCTAACCTAATTTTGAGGCGGGCTCGACTGCCCTGCTCAGTGCAACAATTCGGTATGACTCGGTTCGGAAAACCCGTCTTACTCTCAGGCAACTATAAAGTTGGAAGGGAGATTCAGCGCCAAGCAGCTTAGCGCTGAACGTAGCGATTGTTCGGCCGAAGCCTAGGTGGACCCCAAACTTTGTTAGAGTAATACAAAAATGTGTTCAATTACAAACCTCGCATGCGTACATACCTGGAACTGCACCTGGTCCCGCCAGTCAGTCCAAAAAACACAGAGATCTGCTCCCGTCATCTGTCCTCTGTCAGAGAACCCAATCGCTAGCCAGGGCTTAGTCGCCGTACCCCTGCTGTGCACCTCGCATCGAACCCCAACTACTGTTGGCTCATCTTGGGGGTTTTCGCCAAGATCAGGCAAGAGTTTTGCCGACTGAAAGTTTTGGCGCCTGTTAAGATTCCCAAAAGTTGTTTTTCCAGACACACTGGCGTCCCATAAACTTTTCCTGTTACCACCCAGGATTTCTTGAGAGTCGGATTCTTGTTGAGCATCAGAAGATTTACTTTTTGACGCATACAGACGCCAGAAAAAATGATGGGTGTCGTTTTGGTCCAGGTTGATGTCGTAGATTGGGCCTAAAAATGTACAACAATGTTTATTAATTCAGTTTATGGCATAATCATAGTGTTCTTATGACTAACGAAAAGGAAAGCGTAGACTAAAATGACAGCATGATGAATGTCAAAAAAACAAATTACGTCTGTGTACACATCTGGAGTTTCAAAATGAAAAGAAACAAATATTGTATCGACTGCTCCGACATTAGAAAATAGACACATCGGAACCAAAGACTGTTCCATTTATCTTTGACGCTCATCTTTCATTTTTTATATGCTGAGCACCATTAATTTAGGACTTACCAAATGGGACGGGATTTCTTTCATATTTTCTGAGTGGGAGCTTCTTTCTGGGTGTGCTTGTATTGTTTACGATGTCACTGTTCTGCTTCTTGAAGAAACCTCCTGACGTTATCGACGAATATAGGCTGAGAAAAGGTCTCAGGTAACTCAAAGCTAAATTCTCCCCCAGTTCCGCGTCAGGGCCTAGTTCGAGATGAGGATTATCTTCATCTTCATTCCTTTTGTCTCGTGCATCCACTTCACCATCAAGAATTGCATCATTGATTCTCTGTAAGGGAGAATTTTCGATACGTTTCTGTGGAAGATCAATTTCCTCTAATTCAAGTTCCGGGTCATTCAAATACTGGAACCGTCTTGGCAACGGAAACTGATGTTGGTGAGGATGGGCATGTGACATAGATGCATCAGTGCTTTTTGAATAAAGGAAGTGCACAAACATCGCCACCCCAACGAGGGCCAGAGTTGGCCAGTGAGCCCTGGCTGTGGTCATGGTGCGACAGAGACTGCATGGTGCGGACGAGGGACAGTCCTAAAAATTCGGAGCTGAGGGCAGGTCTGAGTCTCGAGACCCAACCTCGCTTATGTGGTGCCATGCGCAGTGCGATTCTGTAAGTTCACTACAGAATTTAAAACTATTAACCGATATTAATATTCGATTTGACAAAATGAAAAACGGACATTCAATTAATATCTAGGTAACGTTTATCAAGCTCACGCGATGCAGGGACTACAGTATACTTAGTTAGTGAATTAATAAAAAATGCCAGCCATATTTGACTTTTATTCGTACGATACAACGTACGAGTCCTTGTAGTTCAATAATCGCAAAAAATTTCACACACATTAAAATAAATTTTCATTTCTAATTCTCAGGAGTAAATCTTTAAAAAGTATGAATCACAAAAAAGTTCTCATTCCTTTTGAGAGGTTCGAGACCGAGAAATTAGATAATAATCATTGCGCAATAGCTTCCACGTGCTGTATTCTAGCGACCTTTGAAATGAACGAATTCTTAATGGTCTTTCTATGAGTGAGTCGTGGACATTCAGGCCATGTGCGGCGAGAGAATTTCATCACTGGAAGTTCAATCAAATGAGGTTCTTGGCGGCTTCTGGACGTCCTGGAATGCAATTAAGGTCTTTTGGAATTCCAGTGATGCCAGACGCAGTTCTTTTACGAAATCGTGCCAGTACGTTCTTCATCCACAACCGCAGTTGTGCCCGCTCATGCCGAAAATACCTTACAGAATACGTATTGCGAATCATAACTAATTATAAATTCACATTAGAAAACAAATTATACGAAATTTCACTGTCATGATCGATCGCTGATTTTGAACGAATCAGTTCAATACTTGAATTTGATTTTCTTCGACCGCTAGTAGTTGACGTATGATTTATTGTATGTGCGGTGAGGCATATTGGGACAACCGTTTCATTGCTGCGAAGTTTGCGAAAATGATTCGCACATCAATATTCAGACGCATGCTTCGCTCCTAATTTTTATTTCAAAATTCGTATTAAATACGAGTTGCTTGAAGTTTCATTCAAAATATATTTTTGTTGACACTGTTGGAAATGTTTGCTCATTAGGACGAATTTCAATGTCATTGAGCAGTCAACCATCATGTACTCAAAGAGACGCTGGGGCACCATACGATAGAATGGAACATAAGATTGCCGAAACCGAACACCGCAATGTTTTCTGCTCCACAATGTTATTGTTTCGATTAAACGCCAAACCTTTAAATTATTCGATGGGAAGCCCTGTGAATTCATTACGCTAATTAACGATGGATTCTGGAAACGTTAAATTATTGACTTGTTTAATTGCAAAGGAAAATTAAAAAGTGATATTCATTAGGCATACGATAATTAAATCATATATACATTTTCATGTTAATTTTATTTCCAAAGCAGGAAACAAAATTTTAAAAATTCTACTAAAAATTATTGAAGAATAAATTAGCATTTCAGTCAAATAGGATTGAAGATTTTTAGATCAAATCTTGTAGCTTTGCACCTTCATACTAAATTTCGGTATCTCTATAATAATTATTAACATAATTATTGATTTATCAAGGCGTTTAACCCAAATAAAAATTAGTGCCAACATCAGCTACGGCCTCATGCCAATCGGCAGTCGCGTGGGTGCCGCATTAGCGGCCTGGCGCTGATGGAAGGACCATTTTGGGGCCATATTAGGGGCCACTCGCTGGCAGTGGATCGCTGCCTCGGCCTGGCGATGACTCGATAGCAGCGGCAGCGAGCGGCGCCAGCTCGCAAGCCACGTGGCGCACTCCGTGATGCTTGACTGCATGCGGGCTCCGTATCAGGGCCGTGTAGGCAGCGGCCTTAATACGGCCGATTCTTGTATTTATTTAAAAAAAAGCAGCCCTGCGGCGCCTGCCCACAGATCGTAATATGTCATACAAGCGTAAGTTAGGCGTTCGTTGAATGTTCAATTGCATAAATGATGGGTGTGTTGACGAGTATTAGCGAATTAATTTAATGCATGTATTACATAATTCCGGTAATAAGTGAATCAACTAACACACCCACGTTCTTTTACAATAAACAATCTTACGAACGCCAAACAAACACCTGTTAAACATATTACTTGCAGTGAGCATGCACCACAGGGCTGCAGTTCTACTTATACTAAAATATTGCAATTAGGACATTGTACGTCGCGTGTCTCCGTTCTAATTACGTCGTCGCATCGTGAATAATGACTAAAATTCTGATCCTATCAGCATCTTGAACTTGCTTCAGATATTGAATACTAACTACTGATCAGGATACGTGATTCTTGTCGTATCAATTTAAATAAATAATGTTGAGCTCAAACCTAATTTTCTAACATTTTGCTACAATGAAAATGTTCTTTGATAGAATCAACAATGATCGCATGAACTAATTTTTTTCTAATGAGGTTAATAATGATTAGCTGGATTACCGTTAGATTTAATCAGAGGGCAGTCACTCATTAAGAAGATTCATGCTCTTTTGCAAGAGATCTCCAGCTTCAGCAGAAAAGAAGCCAGAGCGCACTGGGGTTAGGTAGTCATGCAGTGTCGACGTGTCTCTTCCCTCGGTGGCCATTCCAGTCGCCAGCGTTGCGCAGAATATTCATGGTCGTGTGGTCTACCACGAATTGACCAGTGTGACGGTGATGTCAAGCTCAGCGCACCTGGAGAATAAGAATCGTTTATGAAAAAACTGCGGTGTAACTCCTCCCTGAGACAGCACTTCTTCTCGCTCCACCAACATGTGGAACAAACTCACAGCTGGCGTCGTAAGCTCTCCTAGTATGAACGCGTTCAAGAACCGACTAGATAAAGCTGTACAGAGGGCTATATATGCATCGACAAGAAATGCGTACCACCTTACAAATTGGTGGTTGTTCAGCAGCTACTTAGCTCCACCGTAAGTTTTGGATATATGTATCTGGTCGAATAACCCGTTATAGGGTCTTCAGAAGATAAGTCAGGAACATTGCAATATTCGGCGACAGGTCAAATTCATTGACGTCGACAATATTATACTAGACTATATAAGTAATATTCGTAACCTTCACGGATTGTTATAATTCAAAATAAAAATATAGTGGCAGCTAACATTTGATAATACTAGATACATGGGAGGGAATTTTTTTATAACTATTGCCTTTTATCAGGTCAAACTTACGCAAGATCATTGTGTAAGCGCCATGAGTCTTGAATGCTATCTTGGTCTTTTGCCGCTTGCTGTTCAACCCAGTACAGGACATTTGCATGGCAAGTTCGCGCGTCAGAAGACTCTTGAGCATTCGTCTCAATGTAGAGCCAACTGAAGGTTCCTCACACTGAGCCAGGTACCGAGTCTGTGAAATAAAAAATATCACACGAATATTTTAGGTAACAATGAGCATAAGGTAACGACATCAATTATTCATAATTGAAAAGAACGCCAATGTTTGCATATTTGTTTAATCTATCTAAATTTAGTAATAGCGCTTAGTAATCAACACTACAAGAAATTAGTTGTCAAGCAAATGACATGGTATGAAAAAATGAAAACAGTGAAGGCCAGAAGAAAGGTAGGCCTATTGGGTTAACTGAGAAATCAAAAATTTAATATCATCATAATAGATCGAATATGTTGAATTATTTATCATGCATTGATGTCCGCTATTGAGTCATAGAGAATCAGATCGCGACACGTCACAAAAAAGTTTTCTATACCTCGCAAGTATATGCACCATGGAAAGTAGCACCAAATAAATTCAATTAAATTGCATCGAGTGATGTCAAATCTCATTCAAATGATTCAAATGTTTAACTTAACATTAAACTATTCTATGCAAGACATTCACACACAAGGTTAGTTCCTGATCTTGTTGGTAACACATAATGTCCACAATAGACAACTGACAATATTATATACATGCGCCAGCGTAAACGATTCCAGTTCAGTGACGTTTTCTCTTGCCTTGATCAATCGTGTCATGGCAAACTGTTAAAATTTATTTCTAGCGGAAACAAGTCGATATATAAGCGAGAAAATAGTACCACTTAGTACACTTACTATGTTCGTGGATGAGAGTAGCTCGTCAAGCTCCTCAATAGTGCTAGCAGCCGCTGGCGCTGGGATAAGCGAGGGTGAAGCAGGCTTTGAATTTGAAATCTGATTTCGTTTTCGCAGATCTTTCAAAAGCAGGTTATTTTCTTCCGCAAGAACATTTGACTTCATTAATTCTTTGAGAATGCTCTTAATTTCAATAGAACTAATTTTTTTTCATGTTGGGAGAGCTAGATTTTTCATTAAGGTGGCTTCTCGACTCGTGGATGTATCGACTATCATCTTGTAGGTCCTGTCCATCATCAATACCGCTTTGGCGATTAAAAAGGTGGTGCCCATCACCAGGAGGGCTTTATTCATCATCAGGAGGACTTTGTCCATCATCAGAAGGGCTTATTCCATCAATAGGAAGACGTTTGCGATCACCAGGAGGGCTTCGTCCGTCATCAGGAGAGCTTCGTCCATCACGAAGAAGGTGTAGTCCATCACCAGAGGGAATTCCTCCATCACCAGGTATGCTTCGTCCATCAAGAGGAAGGCGGATTTCAACGTCAACGGATTTCAAATCCGTCAACGGATTTCTGACTAAGCGAACTCACACATACCTAATTGTTTCCGGTATCGCATCAGCTTTACTTTCACACCACTAGACACACCATTGAAATATCTGGAACATTGTTAATTATTTTTTCAAAGAATTATCTGGGTTTAAATTAACCAGAGCTGAACTTTGGAACGAATTTTAAATGGAATATAGATGCAACAACAACATTATTTCAACAACTATCTACGTTGCCAGCACAGAGCGGACTGCGGCCGGTAAGTAATGAGACGAAAGTCGTGTGACTCACGCAGCCGTTTGAACCAGTCGACGTTTGAACGAGTTCAAACGTCGTTTAAAACGGGTGCAATTCGATGTATTTTACGTGAAACTTCGTAGGTAAATGAATGGAATGGGAGTTATTTGAAAATTTAGGACATTTTAGGTCCTAAAATATGTATTTCATATTGAATTACAGCAAAGTTCATATTTTAGTTGTAATTCTCGTGACTCATGGCAGCCGGCACTCGTTCAATCGTTGTTTAGAACAGTTCCAATTCGATGTATTTTACGTGAAACTTCGTAGGTAGATGAATGGAATGGGAGTTATTTGAAAATTTAGGACATTTTTAGATCCTAAAATAGGTATTTCATATTAAATTACAGCAAAGTTCATATTTTAGTTGTAATTCTCGTGACTCATGGCAGCCTGCACTCGTTCAATCCTGACTTATACAGAACATGTTGTACGTCGTAAATTAATTATTATGATATTAAATTACAACAAAGTCTATATTTTACAACTTTATACGAGTGTTGAACAAACAAATCGAAACGATTTTGGTCTAATGAACGCGGCCGTATGGGATGAATTGGACACTTCTTAGACTATAATATTAGGGGTTAATTTTTGGGATGATTTTTCATTGTACGAAACTTTATTAAATTGATACCAATCTTGAACGATTTAGAAAATAAAGCTATTCATTAACGCGCTCCTGCGAGCTACAAATTTATAAATTCACAGCGCCATCCTTCGTTCGATTTAACTGCGGTAGGCCGCATGCCGAACTCATGGCGTTGTTGCGATGCCTCCACACTGCCTGCGTTGAGGCAGCGAGAAGGCGCTGTTCAGTGCATTTGCTCGGCGTGTTCGGAGCTGCCTGCAGTTCTGCAGTGAAATAGTGAGGACCGAGCTGTATTTGTCGGCAGCGGCCACACGGCGGTACTGTGGCACCCAGAAGGCGCTTGTAGCGTGATGACGGCAGAGAATGGCAGTAATGCGGTAGTGACTGCTTCTATTCACTGCCGGACGGGGCCAGCAATTTTTATCTGGGAAAGCATCGACTTTAAGCAAACAAATGAGCGGCACTGAAAGGTGATGATAGACTCACAGCCTCTCAAATCCCTAATATCTAAAGGTAAAATATTAAACTATATTACTGACATATAAATTCTACCGGGAAAATTTGTTATTTATACAAAAAAAATTATAATAGGAATTGATGCATACGAATGAATGACGAAAAATCCAACCTACGATTCGATGAGTCTCAATATTATAAACCTCGTAGGAAGATGACAATTTTAAATCCAGGAGAAATCAGTTAAAGATCGGTTCGCTAGATGGAAAACTAGAAAAAATTATAGTTAATGATTCTAAGTTTTAAAAATAGAAAAGAAAATTTCATTAGCTTAATGGTGAATACCTCAGAATCGGGCTCCTCAGCAAGTGTAGAGACCATACATGAGAATTCGCAATTGATTTAACCTGTTGACAGTAGTAGATTTTAGCTAAAAATTTCTTAATAATATAATTCCATTCGTTAATTTATCCGAAGTAACATAGTATAGTTAAACAAATCACAGAGCGTAAATAAAATAAAACAAATAAATCTCAATTCACGTTGACATAAAGATCATGAAAATCAGTGAAAAAAAGAAATAATTGAGATAGGTAACGTTACTGGCATGACACCCCATCAATGCAATAGTCTACAGTCACGATCAAAAAAGTGACTCGTTAAAAAAAATATCGTTAAGGAATTCAGGATTGTACTCTTGCCGATCCGGCCTCCTACCTAAAATACGGAACGGGATACGACACAGCATAAAAAAATCAAAATTGAACGGATTTAACTTTAAAAAGGGCAACAAAACTTTCAATAGTTGAAAAATTTTGGTTGAAGAAAAGGTGTTTGAAGAAAATGACAATGGTTGAAGAATAGGTGTCATAAAAACATTCACACCGTATGTATGTTTCATTTAACAAATTATGCAAATGAATGAGCCACAGCAAATTTTTTAACACTTTCCCTTTCACCATGGTCAGCAGTTGAATGGGATTCAAAATAAAAATATTCAAAGAAACATTAGCCCGTGACTTGTGAATACCAGTGAGAATTCTATGAACACGGTTCTTTTCATTCAAATAACCGAATCATGACTTTCGTTGTACAGCACTGGATGGGCTGTGTTTCTAGAGAGCTCGGCGATGGACCAATCGTAAAATTTAGTCTTGAGCGACACTAGCTTGGAAGTCCGACAATGCACCGTGCGGTTGAGAGCGCGAGTATATAACAGGAAATGAGGGTGGGAGGGTCGGCAGTGTTACGAGATCCATCATTTAAGTAGGTGAGTCTATAGGTCTCTTCTTGACAGTACTTTACTAGTATTTCAATTGAATTTCCCACTAATTATACTAAATTTAAAGAGCGCCGTTGATGAGGGAGAAAAATAATATTTCTGTTTATGGTCTACTGAAACCGTTGCTATGACTTGATAATGGAACGCAGGAATAACCGGAATAATAATAATTGGAGTCCAAGAAATAAATAAAAATACTAATAACTGGAGTCCCAGGTAGTTTATTGATGAAATTTGCGGCCATGCTTTCAATTTCTGGATGAAAGATTGATCATTTGATTTTTCATTAATATTGAAGTTTTTGATATAGTCAAAATTTCTATAATTATTATTCTTGGCTGCTATTTGAATTCAGCTTAAAAATGTATCGATTGTAGAGTGTTTTGTCTCGGCTCAATGAATCGGTAAACTTATCTTGAAAAACTACATTCACTTCATGGCTGAACTATCAGTGTAAAAAGTGAGGTCTGCCCACCCTTTTCTTATTTAGAAGTTTTGTATATTTATGTGATACATGAAAACAACGGGATTTTTCCGAATGAGTAAGCTATGTTTTCTTTTGAATTTAGTTCTATTTCATGAGAGATCAAATATTGCTTTAAGAAGTTATTAGTTTTAAAAATTTGAACACTAACTAAAATTACGTATAAAACTCATCAAATCATTTGCAATTAAATAAATTTTAAATCAAATTTTTTAGAATATTCATATATATATTAAAGTAAATTTAATTATCAACCCTTGAAATTCGATTTTAAATCAAGATTTTAATTTTCGTTTTTTTCAGTTATGGACGGATAAAATAAATTCGCTGGCTCCTCACAAGACTGTCGACAATGAAGATACTGATTTCTTGGCTCAACTTCCTAATTCTTTACTCCGGTGAGGAATACTTATTAAGTTTAGATACAAGTACCGTCCAAAATAGAAAATAGTAATTTCGTATCTCCTAATGCTTATAGTCATTCAAAAAAAAAACAGTTTTTTACGATCTGAAAATGAAAATAAGCACTTTCTTTCTTGAAAGTTCACGCAAGAAATGCATCAAACATTTTAATAATACTGAATTCGTACTGTCAGGCGACTTATAAAGTCGGAAATAAGACTGACCAGAAGCTGATTTCGAAAGGGTGGCCAAGCAGACCAAGAATAATTTTAAGCCGAATGTAGCGACACTTGGGCAAAAGCCTATATGCTGTAGCCAAATTTTCTTGGGAAAATAACTTTGCGAAATGATACGATCAGGCTTTGTAAATTCAAGTTTTAAATAAGAGCTATTTTCCTTTAATATACTAGAACTGGTGCTGGCTGCTGCTGAGGGCTCCAAGGAAGAGGCAGATGAAGGGAATGCGAATCGCGTAAGTTAGCCCTTACAATAAAGTGTTATTATTATTTGCATCAGTATTTACAATATTGAAGACACATGCTATAACGATAAACTTATTGTTACGGGCTACATAAATGATTTACTACATAAAATGTAACAATGTAACTCAAACCTAATATTCACTTGCCTATTTTGTCAGATAAAACGAGGGTCGTATTTGTCATCATCGCCGCTGCTGCAGCTCTTGACAAGCAGTCAGGGGTACGGGGAAGGCGTAGGGAGGGCTTCCTCAGGCCTCGGTCTGCTTCTGGGGAACAGCAACAGCCTCATTCACCATCAAGATTCACCATACCACGAATCTGCCGCCGACATCGCCAACAAAGCGGCTGGTCAAGCTACCTCGGCAGCGGCGTCGCAAGGCGAGGCTGCGTATCGGGCCGCTCAGGCAGCAACACAAAAAGTTGCCGCTCAAGTTTCAGCCGCCGCTCAAAAAGCACAGGCAGCGGCAGCACTAAAATATGCCCAGGCAGGACAACTGACTCAGGCTGCTCAAATTTCCCAGGCTCTTGTGTTCAGAGAAGCATCGCAGGCCGCTAAGACTGGCCGCACTGTTCAGGCGGCTGAAGCTATTCAGATGCTTGCACTGGCCCAGGTGGCGTCTCTCCAGCACGCTCTGTCACAAGCTGAGGCCCAGGTGGCCATCGCCCAGCAGGTGCTGGGCTCTGCCAAAGCTGCGTATTATGAACAGAGTGCGATGCTTAAAGAAGCCCAGGCTACGGCCCAGAAAATTGCGCACCAGCAATCGCTCGCAGTATCAGATTTATCGAGCGCTCAGGCGGCGGCTGAGACGGCCCGAGCTGCGGCTACCAAAGCGTTGTATAAAGCTCACCCTTTGACTGGTGGGACTCCAGGTAGATATAGTGCTCACCATCGGTGAAAATTTGCAGCTGACTGATACCCAATAAAGTTAAAAAAGAATTTAATTAAGTTCCGATTTGATAAGGGCGAAATTTAAAAGGTTCGATGGTATAATAATTGTTGGTTCCTCTGTGAAAACAATCGTATCCTTGTACGAGGCTCTTCACTTTTTAAATATGATCGAGAATATCTCGCATTAATGGAAATTTCGACAAAACATTCTTCATTTATTCGAAAAGATGCCACTTACATGTGCGTTATTGAAACGTGAATATTTATACGTTCTTGGTCATAACTTGTATAAATTATAATATTTAATATAAGAACCGAAATAAAATACTTGACTTAGGGTAATTAACAGAAAAACGATTCCTGGTGGAACTTTTTGTAGTATAAAGTCGAGGAACTTTTTGAAACATAGTGCAATGTATATTAACCACCTAATAATCCATAGTTTTTATAATAATGGCGAGACCCGTTCAATTACTAAATATAAATTATATTCCATAACCGCACGCATTAGGCCCATCGCCCATGTTCGTACGGCAAACACATTGACTGTTATAATAAGGGGGCAAATAACACTTAATGTATAAATATAATATAAATGAAAAAGCAACCAAACTACATGAAATAAAAACTGTGTGCTTTCTCTAGCCTAAATTTAATTTAAAACACCTAAGTTGTCGATTTCCGCGCTCTTTCTTAGTTTGAAAGTCTTCCTTATGATCTTCGATTTTCGGATAATTTAACAAATATGTAAATAAAAATGAATTTAGGAATAGTGATAATCAGTATAACAACAAAGTAGAATGATACACGAAAACGCACAATAAATCGATGAAGAACGAATATTTATGATGAATTTCACAATAATTTTCAAACCCCACTATTCGGATGACCGCACATAGAATTGCCACACTTTTTCACAGTTCAACACTTAAAGTGGACTAACTCTACCTCGTTCGCTGTTGTGAAATTATGGTGACGTCAGAGGTGACTATAAAGCCCTTGATGAAAAATTAAAAATATTCTTTCGTCGAATATACCAATATGTTGCACCACGTTTTCTTGAATTAATTAATTCTTGTCGTTAGTAATAATACTGTAATAATATAGTAGTAGTACCATTCTGATATGAATGAGTCACACTGAGCATTTGTTCTATCCATTTTTTTTTTTTGACCTGACGGTTATTGCTTCTTCACAAGAATTCCACAGAATTTTTTTGTTTCTGGAATTGTTTACGCTAATTTTGTCATGAAATTAATAAAAAAGTAACTTTAGTAACAGTGTTAAACCTTCAGCCATATATATGCATTTATTTGCATTTATGATTTAAAATTGTTTCTTCAATTGTGCCAATACAACCTTAATTTAGATCTTTAGTGGTGTAGAAATAAATTTTGTTTGTCAAAATCTTAAACCATGTATCTTTTACTAAAACCTTATTTTTACTTTACTGCTGGAACTTTTTTATTGAAGATAATTCAACCACTTCTGTGTTCCCTTGTTTTGAATTTCCATCGCACTCGTAATTAGATTTAAATTTGCTTGTTTTTTTGTGAGCGACTCGAAGCTATAAACCTGGAAGTCTTTTAATAATTCAGAAGAAATTTTAGTAAAAGTATTTAAGCAGTGTATGTTAGTAATGAAAGTTTCGAAAATCTACTTTTACTACACCGTAAATGTCTTCTGTCACTCCTAATACATTGTTGTGGAAATGAAATATTTCCTCTTCGATGATGAAGGAAATTACAATCGATATAATACCGTCATGGAACGAGTATCCTAAGTTATCGATTATAACCCTACTTATGGCTATAATATTATCATATAGTTAAAGTTAACAAATCACATTTATTTTCTCCGATGCAAGCAAAAAACTTGTCAAAACGTATTGTGAAGTACAGGGTGCGCCACAAAAACTTACTTATTTGAAAGGTCAATAAAAACAAAAGTACTGCAGTTATTGTTTTTAATTTTTTTTATTCGAGAAAACAGTATCCCAAATTTTTTTTCATACAGTTTTGAAAATTAAATCTCATGAATGACGGCCTCCATTGTGCATAAACTAATGAAGTCGCTTTTTTATAATGGTTTCCACTCTATGCAGCATATCAATCGGTATTTTGGCAATGACGTCGCGAATGTTGTTCTTGAGGTGTGCTATGGTCCGTGGTCAATCGACATAAACCAGAAATTTCAAATATCCCCATAAAAAGAAATCGCATGGAGTCAAACCTGGAGAGCGTGGCGGCCATTGGAGATCGCCTCTGTGAGAGATGAGGCGGTCGGGGAAATGATGTCGCAATAAATTCATCGAGTCTCGTGCTGTATGTGTTGTGGCTCCAGCTTGCTGAAACCACACGTTCCTAAAGTTCATTTCTTCGAGTCTTGGAAGAAAAAGTTCCTCGATCATGTTCCTGTAACGAGCTCCATTAACGGTAACTGTGCGTTCGTTTTCTTAAATAAATAAGGACCAATTATTCCCATTACCGACGTCGCACACCAGACAGTAACTCGCTCACAGTTAAGTGGCTTCTGGTGAAACTCACGTGGATTTACACCACACCAATAACGCATGTTTAGCCTGTTGACGCAGCCGGAAATGTGGAAGTGAGCCTCGCCACTGAAAAAAACGACCGCGTCTTCAGGCAGGTTGTCAACCAGCATTTTACATGCATTTTGAGGGGCAACAAAATCGCGTTCAGTTAATTTTTGCACTACAGCAAATTTATTTGAGAAACTTTGAGAAACAAACTTTGGGAACTTTCCCCTTCAGATGCACCCCCTCTCGCCCCTCTACCCGACCAACTAACCGCACAGGAATTTTTTCAAATAAGTAAGTTTCTGTTGCGCAACCTGTACATACAATGAACTCGGGTAATTAAAAACTTATTATGAAATCTTATTAATTATTAGCAAAACTTACTGTGAAGTACATACAATGGGCTGAGGTAATTAAAGGAGAGCATTAAAATTTCAAATGGAGTCTACCAAGAAATGTATTTTTGCCCCCATGATACGTATATGAAATACGGCTTGATCGTCAAAGTTAAAAAATTTATTCTTTTTTGGAATATTTTTTAAATATCCATTAAATTGAATGAAAATGTTAACAATTCGTTCAAAATGCGTTTCAACATTTAATGCGAACAACAAATGCGATTCGTTTAACAAAATGTTAAATAATCGTTCATTGTAAACCAAATTTATTCACATGACTTAATGGTAATGTCCATGACAAACGTTAATGAAAAATTATATTCTGGACAAGTGTATAATTTAACTGAACACAAATTCGCATGTACGCTATAAAAAAATCGCTTAATAACTGACAGCTCAGAAAATGTAGGAGTGCTCTAATTATGGTGTTTTCATTTGAATAATATATGATTTAAGTCGAAGTATATAATTAAGATACTGTAGTTTGGTATCATTATTCAACCAGTTAAGAGAAACAGTATAGATAAGAGGATACGATGAGATGTCGATTGTGCTTCAGTGATTTATTTTATTCGTAGGTATATATCGTAAACCCAGGCATGATTGCAACATTGCAAAATATTATCTATGAGATGTCAGGAGTCCATGGAATAAATTCTGACTCAGCTAGGCTAATTATAATGATATACACATCGTGGAATGGTAATTGTTGGCCGATATATTACGGTATTACCATCAAAATCGAAACAAAGCTTTCGATAAAGAGTGAAGCTCCAAGTCAGAGCCCAAGATTAGTGATGTCTGAATTACTATTTTAAGCATAATTAATGTGATGTAGTCGTGTGATATTCTCCGGCGAAAAAATTTAAAATTTTCTGTTTCAGTGTGAAATCTAAACTTCATGAAATCACTTTCATAAACATAGAAGATCAATAAATGGCTATGATAATTTTCATTTCCCATATAATATAACAGCACGAAGAAAGATAAATTCGAATTTGTAACGCATATATTTTATGAACATTAACAAAAAGTCGGAAATGTTTACAAAATTAAAATTAATTCCGCCTTTTATCGCTTCAGATGTCTGCGCGTCTGATTCAACCAATGATTTGCTTTAAGCATAACATTCAACGATTCATTACATGCATTCCGCTTTAATCATCCATGGGTATTTTGGAAAGCAGCTCCGGTGATGACCGCGGCCTGTCCGTGATGCGCAGCGGCGCTGAGAGAGGCAGCCTGGGCGTGTTGCGCGGCGTAATCGGCGCTTGCCGCGAGCGCGGGATCGTTTGCCGAGCTGTAAATCCCGTGTGCTGCCGACGCTGCAGCAGCGTTCCCTTGAGCGACTGCTAGCTGCCCTTGCGCGATCGCCTTAGCGCTGTAGACGCTGCCTGAGGCCTGCGCGATGTTGCTGTACCACTGCTGATCCGCAGCCCCGACCGGGAAAAATGATGGCCCGCTTCCGGCGTTCACGGTGTGCGCCGGGCCACCGCCGGCAAGGGCGCCGTGTGATCCAGCGAGGAGAACATGAGAGCCGGTCGACGAGCCTTGGTATCCACCGCTGCTGATGATGGAGTTCCCTCCCGCTCCATATCCACCTCCGCTACCTCCACCTCCACCAAAGAAGCCTCGGCGTACCTTGAGTGACAATCTTGGAGATCAATACTTTTTAATGCACTTTATTTGTTAATCAAAAATGTAAATTCGGAATTGAAAAAGTAACAATCAATTCTATTCTAGTTATAAGATCTTTTATACCAAAAATATCACATCGTAAAATTCTGCATCGTGTTTAAAAAGAGACTCTATCAAGATAAATTGACCAGTTTAGGTCCTAATAGTGGACGACAAGCCGAGGCAAATTTTAAAATTTGATGATAATTTTTATCGTTTTTTCCTAAGTTTGGTCTATCAGATAAAGTATGAACGTTTGACATCCTTCGAAGATTATAAATCCCAGATTCTCTTTCGATCGGTTCTTGTGTCTTTAAAGAACAAACTCGTGTTTTAAACCATCAGAATAACTGATACTTACTCTTGAAGAGCTTGACGGGTTGACGAGGACGGTCACTGCAATAAAATAATACATATTAGACTCTAAATTAAGTTACCAATGATTTTAGTACGTTCTCGATTAAAAGCTTTGCGGAGCATTGTAGCACCAATGCCACAATCAACCGATACATGATGCGGTATACTAATGAGAAAATAATCTATACCGGGAGTGCTAAATGAGTCAGGATGATTCACTTGGAGGACCACAGCGTTTATTTCAAAAGATCTGTGCTTTCGCACTTCTACCTGACATATTTGCCTATCCCGTCTCACTCAAATAAGGCATTCGTCAATCACTAGAGAAATAATTGAAGTGCTGAAGGGATTTAGAGAGGGAGAGTGAATCAAATAACAGAAATTGATTAAACGAGGGGGAAAAAAGTCAAAAAACAAGAAAATACTTTCGTCTTACTAACTTAGGGTGCACGTTATATAATGAAAATTTTTGAAACACGTAGTTCTAGGAAAGTTTCAAACAGCTTAATTTTTGTCATGTTCTTCGATATTTGTACTTCTGAAATATTTAATTTACATGTCAAACGTGATATTTATCGTTTATTTCAGCATGGAACGAGCATTTGTCCTTAAAATATTGGTATTTTGCATAAATATCAGAACGTTTGATGCTATCATTGATGTTATCTAACTAACCAGCTATAAGCAGCGAGAAGTAGCAAAAGCGAGACATGACTTCACTCAGCAAGAAGCTTGTGCTAAATGGTCACCAAAAACTTGATTCACCAGTTATAGTCTGAATTTTTGTCTCATTAGCTCAAATTTCCTTTGAAAACGTCACATGTTTACGAAATCAGTGCCGTTCGTGGGTCCAGTATTGCGAAAGCAGAGGCCAAGTGAGCAATGAAAGAGTTTTTTTTCCTGACGTGGGAGAAATAATGAACCGCTTTCCCAAAGTTGACTATACGACTTAAGGCGAACCTTTGTAACCAAATGATTCTATTAAATTGTCACTTGAGACGTTCGTTCAACGTCGTATCTAAAAAACGGATTGCGCAAGAGTCTCCATTCATTCAATTGATTAACTCATTCAACAGAAACATGCTGGGGGATTGTGTGCAATGCTTTTTGATGTAGTGGAGCATTTATAAAGCCACAATTGAAAATTCCGTACGAAACCCTTTTGGTAAAACAGTCATCGTCGTATGACATAAAGCACTTCAAGTTGTAAACAAAAAAAAAATCGAGTTAGTCTATGAAACAATTCTTATTTCAAGAAACCATGCAAAGAATTCGACATTTTTCAATGAAAAGCCTCGTCAAAAGCAGGTTAAGGTTCAACTCAAGGGTAAGTTATTCTGTATAAATGGCATTATTTTGGCCGATGATCCGTCTTTCCGACAAATGCTGTCGTGGCAGACACGATGATTGGAAGCGCCCTCAAGTTGTTCCTCTGCCTCGGTAAGACAGTAAATAACCCATTTTTGGAATATCTGAATCATTAAAATATTCGTGGACACACATTATTATATAAATGTTGTAGTTATTGTATAAACATTGTCGTGTAACATTATATATCCCGATGGTCGTGGATATACACTACTGTATTACCATCGCCCTGATTCTATCAACTAGGTAGAACTCAAGTAATTAATTTGTACTCTTTATACTTATAAGAATATTGTGCTGATACTGGGATATTTATATACTGATAGGCTTCATCGCTAACTTTACCTGGATCGAAAACTGAAAAATTCAGGTTTCTTATTTCTGAAAGCGTAAAGAAAATAAGCCTCGAAATATATTTCGCATGCATTAACTTGTTTTAATTCTCAGATGATATTTCTGTTTAGATAACTAAAATCCCTGGAATAATTTTACCTTTATTCCCACAGCGGCGCTCTCAGGCTCCTCCTTGGCCGGCAGAGTGAGTTTCGACTGCTTAATATTCTGCTTAAGTCCCGCCCAGTTAAGTGTGACTTGATCATGAATTTGATTACAGAGTTTATTCCCTACTATATTTTACTATATTTTAAAAGAGTTTAGTCTGTGTTTTTAAAGCCTGGTATCATGGATACAACTGCATTTGTTTCACTCTAGGTTTCTCACTCTCTTTCGGCCTCTAAGCTAAAGTTTCACTCATTTTAAGTTTTTTCAAATAATGTCAGGTTAACCAGATGCGCTGGATCACCTCACTAAACCTCCGTAGCTTCCCAGACCATGTTAATCTGTGTTGTTAGCCTGCTGGTTTTCGAGAAATCGTGGTCATACTGCATACTTATTATACTAAGGGCATGTCGTCATTCATAATAATAGAATTTTAAAATTTTTCTAGAGTAGGAAGTCCGTCATTGGATTCTAATATTTTTTCTATAAATTTTTGCCAGGTTGTACCCTTCTATTCAAAAATCTCTCCTCTTATGTTACAGTCTGGGAAAATATATAAATAGAAGTATTTTGGTTGCAGTGGCATAATTAAGCTCGATCTTAGCACCATAAAATATTCTCGGTTATTGAGTTCTCGTATTTTCATGATTGAAAATATTTTTAGTAATTGAATTGTGGAATAACATATAAATACTGATTGTATGTATTTTAAAGGAAAGAAGAGGCATATTTGGAGGCGGTTATGGTGGAAGTGGATTAGGCCACGGCCTGCACTCCGGAGGTGGCTACGGTGGAGGCTTGGCTTACAGCTCGGGAGGCCTCGGTTACGGAGGTGGCCATGGACCATCGGCCGCTCAAGTAGCACAACAAGCAGCAGTTACAGCGACAGCAGCAGCTGCTGGCTTGAAAGGAGCAGCACACAACGCTGCATCCCAAGCCAAGCGCTACGCAGCGCAGAACGCAGCAGCAGCAGCCGCTGTGGCGCAGCACGCTGCAGCCGCAGGCCATCAGCGCGCCGCCGATCTCACCTACGCCACGCAGCAAGCGCAGGCCAACGCCTATGCCCAGGCGAGTCAGGCTGCTAATGCCCAAGCGGCGGCTCAGTACGCTTTAAATAACAAACTCTGGGCTAAAAATCAGCTCCATTCACCATATGGTGGCGGATATCACGCTCACTCTCAGTTAGCCAACGCACAAGCCAACTTCTATCACGCGTCTTCAGTCGCTGCCCAGCAATCAGCTGAAGCCCAGTACGCTCAGAAGCAGGCGGCCCAGCTCTCCCAGCAGAGTTTACTGGCCCAGCACGATCTTCAGAGCAGCAGCTCAGCAGCCGCTCAGGCCACAGCCGCTGCAACGAAGGCTGGGGCAAAGGCTTACGGCTCTGGCTTGGGTCTTGGAGGCTACGGAGGACATGGTTACGGCTATTAGGTGCAAGCACCATAAATTAAAATTTCAGTAAGAAACTTGACAGGTTTTGTTGGATCTGCAACGTCCAGAGTATTGGAAAAAGACACAAATTGATTTAGAATCTACACTTATGTGGATTTTTTTCGAGATTTAGACGAACTTTGTCATATAACAACACAGTTGAAAGTTCCTAATCGGATGTTGCGAATATTTCAACACTTCAGTTGCTATACAATGAAGGCTTTTGATTATGGCCAGAATAGCGCCTGAGGTAACAGCGTCAGTTGAATGCAGACACGCCTCTCTCGCACACAACTCTACGCAAAGATATATATTATTTTAACTTCAACTCAGGAATCAAACGTAGCAAACATATCCATTTAATTAAAATTAAAGTTAATAGGAATGTAGGTTATCAATAACTATATTGAATTTCATTCTCGGCGTGTCTATTCCGAAGACTGTAATTATTTCATCAGCAATTACGGAAGACAATTACGAGCTACGTATTATTTCGATAATAATTAAGTAATCATAAAGGAAAAATCAGTAGGGAAGAATTGATGCAGTGTGATATTTATATACCAAGCATTCACTTACTTTGAGTAATTTGTGTTCTTATACTATACTAATAAATTAGAATATTTATGGATAATAAAAGCATTCCAAAACGACAGCCTTATTTATTTGCCTTTCATCTTGTAGTTGGAGTAATGATCAGAATTCAAGCGAAGTTATATTCACTGATCGATTGAAGATTCGTGAGAATTTATGACGGTAAATTTCTGAAGATACGGTAGAATAAAACTAAAAACATCTTGCTTCCTGCTGATAATAATAATCAGTTGAAAATGTCGGCATTGTTTTGCGATTCTAAATAAAATCAAAACAACTTAGTTCAACGGCTGAATTTTTGAATATAGTGTTTTCTATTTTATACTGATTGCAATTCCGAACGAAACTTTGATAATATTGAGAAACAAAATCTGGATGTCCATCCAGTGAGACTAAACCGCAACGCCCTCTACCGTTCTAAGATAGGACTCTTATTTATGACCGTCTTCTATTATTAAGACTGTCTTCTATCATGATGAGAGACGGAAACTCATTCAGTTTATACCCATTAATTGGAATACTGACTTCATGAGAGCTCTCTGAATCAATAATTGGAAGTGTCCAAAAATATTTAATATTTAATTCCCGGATGACATGAGTCTCCAGAAGTTATGTGCGTCAGCAGACATTTAATTTATCGGTGCATGTGATCAAAGGCACTAGTGGTACGAGCCAAAACCTGACCCCACCGAGGCCCTCGCTCCGGCTTTGGTGGCAGCGGCGGTAGCCCGCGCTGCTGCAGCCTGCGCTCCGTCCAGGTCTGCGTTGGCCAGCGTTTGCTGACTACCAAGCGCATGCGCGGCCGCTTGCGCATTCCAAACCATCTGATTCTGCGAACTGTAGTCTGCCAGAGCAGCTGACAACGTTTCTCCTGCGATACCCGCTGTGCCATAAGCTCCTGCTTCAGCTTCCCTCAAGGCTTCAGCCACTCTCCTGGCTGAAAGCTTCTGGGTTTCTGCTGCGAGAGCGACACTCTCCTGCAACTGTCGCTGAGCGCCTTCAGCAAGCGCCTTGGCCAAAGCCCCTTGCCGGGCGATGGCAGTTTGTGCGGCCTGGGCGAACTTGGCGTATGAGGCGTCATTGGCAGCGTCAGCACTCGCGGTGGCTTGCTGGGCCACTTGGAACGCTGCTTGCTGAGCTGCATATGCAGAAGCTCCTTGCTGTGAGGCTGCCAGCGCCTGTGCAGTAGTCGCCGCTTGATTTGCCACGTCCCCGGCGGAGTAAGGATTTGTGCTTCCCCCATAGCCGCCTACACCGGTGTTGAGAACATAGTTGCCACCTCCATATCCTCCTCCACCGTAGCCTCCTCCACCTGAGGTGTATCCTCTCTTCACCCGCAGGAATCCTCCGTGCGCCCCTTCAAATGTGGAAAAAGAAAATGTTAATAAGATTGCCTAGGAATAGACTTTTACACAGATGTTGATTACACACTGTACTGTATATTCTATGCTTTACAATGGGATTCATTAAATTGTATATTGACTAAATTAATGTATTTTCACATTACCGGAGAGTGCAATGGCGGCCAGTAGGACCAAGGAAAAATATCTGATCATCTTGCTCACTCCTTCGCAGTTGGCTATCATCTGCCCCCATCCGCTAGCGTAACCGATATATACTCTGCTCTACTGCGAAGACTTCTCAGGCGCTGTTCCACCTTCTTAGAAATCCTGCAGTTTTGTGAAAGTGTGAGAATGGTCAGGATTTTTCGTTTCAATTCGCTTTTTCGATGGTGGTGAGTGAAAGGATTTAACTCTCCATAGAGGAGAGTGATGCTCAAAGTTAGCCAAATAAAACTATATCTAAAATTAATTCGTCAGCCGTTGTTAAGCACAGCTAGAGTTGCTGTAAAAGTTTAAAAGGTAAACACAGACCGCGAAAATTAATATTATTATACCAGGATTGTTGATTCTCGTTTTATTTGCTTCGTTAAACCCGCTCTTTGTCGATGGTAAACGTCGGAAACAAAATATAAATTTCGTCAAAAATTAATTTCGCCGCAGAAGTGCATATTTGAAAATTACTGATGGCATTGCTTCAGGAAGAAGTTTTACCGTCAAATGCATGCAATGAATAATGAATGAATAATTGATAATCATAATAAATGAATAACTGATAATCATAATGAATGAATAATTGATAAATAGTTTTGATTATACCCTCATATAAATAACTGGTTTATAAGTCTCTTTCCTTCACTTATATGGCGCCTATAATGATGTCGACCTTTTAATTCGTTGCTTGAATATTCTTACTACGATTTTTGTTTTTAAAGCAACGTGCGCGAAAGGAAGAAATTTGCCTATCAATACAAATCAGGATTTTAATTTTGATGTCGTAGAAAAAGCATTCGAAATTCCCACACTACTTATAACTTATCACGCGAGCCTAAAATTTTCAGGACATCCAACAATGCGAAAACGAATTTCAATATTAACACAAAATTATATTGTTTCGATTTGAACTGTCAACGTATATATATGAGAGCTTATTGTTTCTTTATCATAATGGCTTACTAAACTTCTGTGGAAACAAACCTTGAAAAAATTACAAATGACTTTTTCACACATACTGTAAAAACTTGAAACGATAATTACTTTTCAATCATGTAGCAAAAAAGTTTTCTCAAAAAGAAAAAGAAGAAATGTGATGTTTAAAACCCTTTTGTCTTAACACACCTGAAACTTCATTTGAATCGATTCGTAATTAGATGAATTTGCACTCATGCAATGACATCATCATTATATAAGACATAACACATAATATCAGGGCAGGGTGGCCCAGTGGTTAAAGTTCAGAGTACCAGGATTGGCGCAGAGAGACGCGGGTTCGATCCCAGCTCTGTGCGCCAGTTTCTGGTCAGAATCGGCAAGGAGGCCGGGCGGTTAAGCAACGCAGAATTGTAGCAGTGAGTTGCGAGTTCGAGACCGCAAAATTCTGTGAATGTTCTGCGATGTTAAGAATCGGCGACAGGCCTACGGCCTAATAAACGCTGAAACCGCTACGGTGCGGTGAGGTAGCCACGATCCATCTATGCCGTGGGTTTCTTAGAAACCTTTACAAAATGCTTTTCATATATAATTCCACATTAACTTATTTCATTATTATTTATTTTAAAGCAGCCTGAGTTACAAGGCAAAGCGTTTTTGTTCCCTAGAAATGAATTACCATGTCATATACTATAAAAATGAAACTAATGCATTGACAAATGTAAAATTAGGGATTCGTATTTGAACTTGCTTTATATCAAAACTTTATTGAATTTTAAGACGCCACTACGTAATACTAATCGAATTCCTTTCTGTAATATTCTTATGTAGGGACTGTGAAAAAAATCTAGATTAGTTTTATGGTCTACCATGAATTTCAAGCTTTCCAACAAGTGTGTTAATCAAATAGAATAAAATAATATTACATTTTTATATATCTTGACGGATGATGATACCTGTGTCTAATATTGAGTATGAATTGGAATGAATTTTATTTCATTGTTTCAATTTACTGTCAAACAGCTAATAATTACAGTATGTGTGGTAAGCAATCTGTAAAACTCAGAGGTACGATTGTACAGCTCAGGTACCTGTACAACTCAGAGGTACCTGTACCTTAACAACTCGGAGGTACCTGTACAACTCAGAGGTACCTGTACAACTCAGAGATACCTGTAAAACTCGGAGGTACCTGTACAACTCAGAGGTACCTGTACAACTCAGAGATACCTGTACAGCTCAGAGGTACCTGTACAACTAAAGAGGTACGGTAGCATGTGACCTGTTTTTTGATAAGGTATATCGCATGTCACACTCTACGCTAACTTTTATCCAATCAAGAGTTTTTACCTCTCCTTGATTTAAGACTTTCTGTTGAATAATTTCAATTTTGTTCAATTTTCTCGCTTTGTAACTTTAGATAGGAATTTCGAATAGTTTGATTGCACTTCTCGCTGGCTTACGATGAGTGCTCTGTCAGTGACGAGTAAATCCGAGGATTAAACTTTTGCGGTGCTAGGCCACTTCCTAACTAAGAATCCTAAGTGTACTTGTGCTGATGTTTGAAGTACGTACGTATATTGTGCTCTGTCATCCTACTCTAGCCCCTATAACTTTAGAAATTGCTACTCTTTCTGAAATATAAATAGAGATTCTTCCCTGTTTCCTGGAACGATTTACTGGAACAAACCGCATTTAAACCGCAAAATACTGTGGATGTTCTGCGATGTTCAGAATCGGCGACAGGCCTACGGCCTACTGAATGCTGAAACCGCTATTACAAACCTTGCATTTAACACAACAGACCAATTTCAGTCTGCCATTCTGTTTTGAATATTTGAGTTACCTCAGATATCCATTGAAATAGCAAACTCTTTTTTGCCTTTATTGATGAGCACCATGCAGAGTAGTTAATTGGTTATACTAATAAACTCTCTGAGCGACACAAGCCATGCACGAAACCCGCGGATATTTCAACATACTTCCTGCCTTGAGATGAAATTACATTCAAATCTTTCTGTGTCGCAAGTTCTTCCTTCTAAATTTCGGTACCTTTCACTTTGTCTCTTCAATGACTCGGTGTTTGTGCAATCCTTTACATTTCGCACGCCTTTTACAAATTTCTATCGACAAAGGCTTTTAAGATACATTCACGAATTTTCAATGAAAATTCTAAGATCATTTTCTTACGTAAACGGATAGGATATTTAGAGAATGGCACAATACCTTTGTTTTTAATTGTGAAATAGACTACGTTCTTTTAACTGCTTGATTGTACGAGTCGGTAATTATTCTGAGTAAAACAATCGTAGAAGCAATTTTAATGTGTTTTGATTATGGACAGGATACAGATTGAGAAAACTTCTCTAATGCTAATATTTATTTGACATTTTCACTACTTATGCTCTATTAGCTATTTATGCTGGGACACAGAAAATTACAAAATTAAACCAAAGACATAGATTAAAAAATACACACATTCGAGAAGTGATTTATTCTCGGTTCAAGTTTCCAACGCATCGGGTTCTGAAACTGGCTTAGGAACTGAAGCACTTGGATAAGTAGCTGGGGCTCCAAATCTTTTAAGTAATAATTGATTGGGTGACGAGCTTTGATAAGTGTTTGCTGAATTCGACCGTGGAAACTGAAAAGCATTTGTGGGCGAAGAACGGAAATCAATTGATGAAGAAACTAGAGGTTCGTTAAAACCTCCTAAATTGGCCAGTAATCCCAAAATGCCTAAATCAAGGTCACCTCCAAAATTATTTTGTGTTGATCCAGCAGTTTGAGGAATGGTAACTCCAATGGAGCCTGGCAAGCCTAATGATGACCCAAAGTGCGACTGGGAGGTGAATTCCGAAGGTTTGGGATTAGAAAAGTACGAAGGAGAACTCCACGAATTGAGTCCTAAATTATCAAACCCAAACAGGCCGCTTGAACTTGTTGGGAGGGATGGAGAATTTTGTGGGCTTGTATGGAAATTAAAAGACTTTGATGGGTTCAAATTGAAGGTCGGTTGATTTTGAGGGAAAAGTCGGGCAGGACTGAATGGGAAATTTTGCAGGAAGCCGGAAATATTCTGGTTGAAGGCGGGAAAAATACTTTGCTCCGAGAGATTTGGATTTATTTCTTTCTCCAAATTAGTAGTATGATTAAAATTCGAAGATGATTCATTTATGAGTGGAGTTAGTAAAAGTGAAGGGAATAAGGACAAAAGAAGATCAGAGGAACCATTGTTTTCAAGGGAAATTACAGGAGACGTGGTGGAGTCGGTCAAATTGATGAACCCTGAGTAATTCGTCTTTTGAGGGTCTATTTCTGGAACATGAAGAGATATATTAGATAACAACTCATCGGGCTCATGGACATTCAGCTCTGCCAAAGGAAATGAGCTGAGGAGTTCCGAGACATTCCCTTTGGCTGGAGTAAGTGAATAATTTCTTGACACAGACAGTGGAGCATGAGACTGGATAGTTAGCACGTCATCCAACTGTGGAGAAGTTGTCAGAGTCTCAACTATCACGAACTCTGTATTTTCTTTATTCGGGCCACTGCTGTCCGTGGAATTGCTTTGATCGCTGCCTTCATTGAGAGTTTGCTGGCTGGTGTCACTGTTAGTATTTTGTTTCTGATCAGCATAAACTAGGTGATCACCTATGGCAAATACCAGGGCCGGTCGTTGCTGCTTTTCATCGGATTCTGTTGGATGTATTGACATTAATCCCTTGTCAAAATCATTGGCAGGCTTCAGTGCCAAAGAGATTTTCGGTCGGCCTCTAGAAGCCTGCGTTTCGCCAGGGGGAAGATCCGATTTTAGTTTCGATTCGCTGTGAAGATCCAGCTCCTCGTTCTTTGAAAGGATTAAACAAGGTTATTCAATTATATTAATTGAAAGATTAAAAACAAGTTTACTCGATATCACGGCAAAAATTATCATTCGTGCGACAGTTAGATCGTCAGTGTGTAATATTTGTATAATGGATTCGATCATATAAATGATAACAAAATTTATCAATCAAATCGAGTCACAGAAAAAATTGGGCAAGTTTATTCAGTTTATATTTCAACTTTTTTGATTGTACAATTTTTTGAAATTTTTAAATTAACTTACCAAATTAGTTTGATCAACAGTAGTGGAGCTTGGCTCGAGGTTCTGTTTGGTCTCATTAGTTGTTACTGGAAGCTTTATTGTGTTTTTTATATTTTCGGCTTCTTGTTCTCTTTGCTCAGTCCCGATGTTTTCAATGGAGACATTATTAAAATTATTAATCTCACTCCCGGATTTCCCAGGATGATTATCACCTGACACTGTAGGAGAAGTCCTGCTCTTACTTTTATTCGCTAATTCGCGAAGTTGTTTTAATAGAAACTGATAACCATTGCCTGTCGAAATTCCAGGTAGACTAGCTGAAAAATTGCTGTTGAGAGTAGCGGGTGGTACAGTTGAGTACTCGATCCCTCTCAATTCTCTGCCATTGTATTTTACTTGAGGAACTAGATTCTTCTTCTCGGCTTTGGTTTCTCTTTCATCGGATTTTTCACTGATATCTTTCACGAAGCTTGAATTGTTTTTGTAAAAATCGGTTTCATTCGCAATGCTTCTTGGAGCTTCGGCCGTCAAATGAGTTGATTTTATAGCGCTCCCTGGCTCATATACGAGAGGTAGTCTTTCGACGATATCTTTAGCTGTAGTGTCTCTTCTTTGTCTGATATTGTCATAGTTGAGATGCGTTTTCCTTCCTTGGCTGCACTGCAACCCTGAAAAAAATTACTACATTTCAAGGACTGTGCAAATGATACGAAAATTTTGAATTAACCACAATTTATAATCAGAACGCATTTAGTCAGAAGCAATTTATTCAAGCATGCTCACCAATGATGAAAAGTATGACGTAAAACTTCATTCTGTGCATGAAATGTTGCAATATTTAACCACATTAATACTAGCCTTCTATTTAATTCAGCGCTCATATATGTATGTTCTTGAATTACGATATTATATCTACGGGAACAACGATCATATGGAGAATAGTTTAGTACTGAGACGGTGACCGACGCCAAAGCAGCCAGATTCCGAAATACTGTCGCGAGCACGTGAAAAGCTCTTTTATAGAGCAGAGAAACTGCGTGGAATAGACCGATGGGAATCTTTTAATTATGCAGGTTCAGATTCAACATTTTTCCAGCAATTAGAAAATTTATTAGTTGTAAAATATTTTAGCGCATTTTTTCAATCATTCAAATTGTCAAACAACATAGAATTAGTACATTTTTCTCACACAATCTGATTACAGTGATTGGGAGTCATGAGCTCCTTCGTGAGCAGAAAACCGAAATTTCATAAATGGGAAATGAGCGATATTTTAACATGAAAAAATCCCACCTCAGGAGTCATAGGTCATTGGAAAGAATTAGTATTACTGGAGAAAGTTACTGACTTGAATGAAATGCACAGCAAAATATTACATCCTTGACCATTTCGGACCTGGTGGAAGTCTAGTACCTATTTCAAACTATCATCAGTTTTGAAAAGATCCGGTCAAAATACCTGTTTTTGTTTTTTGGATCTCCTGTGAACAAGTTATGAAAAGTACAAGAATCAGCGACAGGCCACATCAAGCTTATTATCAGCGCCGACATCGCTATGATGTGATATGTTTAAAATCGATTATGATGAGTTTAATCTGCCCGATCCGTTGCACCGGAATTTCCGCGAAAGTTTCCTTCGTCATTCCTGATTTGTGTGGAAATCCAGGGAATACGTATGTTCGGTCACAGTCAATTGAACACTTCCTCCTTTCATGTACACTATACAATCATGAGAGACAGGTGATGATATCAAATATCCATGCCCTGGGAGTCCCTCTCATATCTGTGCGTGTGCTCCTTGGTGGAGGAAATTATCCCAGAAGAGTTCAGCACCACATAGTGAGAGCAACCACCACATATCTCATGCAAACTGGTCGATTATCTACCATGTAGCTGGTGAAATGCACTGGATTAATTACGGCCGCTACATTTTCAGTAGCGGTAGCGGTAGCGGCACTACATTTACGGCAATGTAGTGGTAGCGGTAGCGCCCGCTACATATTTAAGTAGCGATACGAGGTTTTGCCGCTACAGCGCTACCGCTACATTTATAGATAAAGCCTTTAGATTTTACTTAAGGGAGGTATACCCTCCAGAAAAACTTCCACATTTACTAACGGATCTTTCTGAAATTTCGCACATATATGTAAAACCAAAATACAAGAACATTTTGTTCGTATGATTTTTTTTTCAGAAAATTAATAGAAAACGTGAAATTTATAGAAAACGGACAAAAAGGGGTACTGCAGAAATCTATCTCCTCCTAGGGTTTTCAAGCTACAGCATTGAGACGCATACCATTCGATGCGTAAAAACCATACCTATCGAGTTATCGAGCCCTTTTTTTATTTTTGCCTTAAATTTTTTGTACGCATTTTTCCGTTTTCTTCTTATTTTTTTCTAATTTTCTTCAAATTTCCCCCCTCCCCCCTATTTTGAATCCAAACTATGCACAAATCTAAAAAAAAAGGCTCGATACCTCGATAGGTATGGTCTTTACAAATCGAATGGTATATGTCTTATCGCTGTAGCTTCAAAACTCTAGGAGGAGATAGGTTTGCCGTGGCAATAAGTGTGAATGTTCAGGAGAGCGCGACAAAGCCCCGAGCGCATCGCAATAGGCACTCAATGTAGCAAGGATACAAAACTAAACTTTATACGAGATTGATTGCAGTCAAGGATAGTGGGAGCGACTGCATGCACACCTCTTCATTCGACGCCAGGCGGGTAACTAAGGTGCACCTCAAGCCGACACTCTATTTAAAGTGCTCGCAGCGAATTTCCTCCTATTCTATTTGTTAAAGAACTCCAACACCCCCCTCTCTTTCCTGATCTGTCGTGAATGGTAGGTACCATTGGATAGGGCAGAATGTCAGCTTTAAGATGAGACTAAAAACCGGAAAAGCCAAATCCGAAAATTTTAGGGTAGACACCCCCCTTAAGTTGTTACTAGTTACCACTTACAGGCATTTTTTCATATTTCAGTTTGCTTACAGTTATTTTTATGTTTCACCTTCCCTACATGGATGTCTACTTGAAACTATATATAAAAAATCAGTCTTTTATTTGTATATATATGTGGATACTTTTTGAGATTGGTAGATTAAAGTAGACATCCATGTAGGGAAGGTAAAACATAAAAATAAGTAAATAACTAACTTTCTATTTACTGTGTCTAACCACAGTAACCAGTACTAGTTTGGTTAGGTTAATTGCAATAAAGTTGAATTGATATGTTTTGAAAATGTTTTATTCTCATTTAATGTTTATGAGTAAATCCTAATAGCAGAACAATAAATGTTAAGAGATTTCTAATAATTTTGGCCATTGTAGCGGCTAATGTAGCGCCCTACATTTTACTGTAGCGGTAGCGGTAGCGGCGCTACATTTCAAAGTAGCGCTGCCCAGCTCTGTATATAGTTAAAACAGTCGCTTCTTGTTTTATTCTCACATATTTAATTGTTTAAATGAATGAAACTCCATTTATACACTGTATAAAAAACTAAGCATCATGTACTGAAAGCTGAGCATTGCTAACTAACAATATTTAAGGTAGTGAAATTTCTATCATAAAGTGATCACGTATGCAAAATTTCATCTAAAGTTGGACATGTTTTGTAAAAGCGCGTGATTAAATAGGGATTTTAAGGAATATTGTATATAGCGAGAGAGACGTTTCCTATCGTCTCATATCTTTTAAAGTTGGGTGAATCGGAGTGATCTACTCCACCAAATTTACGTTACGTTCAGGTTCAAGATACCGGTATTCATTACTTATCGTTTTGTCAGGTAGGCTGCCGAGTGGCATTTGATTTGGCACGTGAATAAGGTTCTCTACTCCATCTTGCTTCGAATGAATGCAATATATATTCTGCGCAGCAGCTGTCGTGATGCTCCCCACTTCACTGAACTCAGCGCTCTAAGTACTTGTAATCTTTTTTGGCAAGATTTGCGAGTCTGTCTAACATGCTCTTTAAAAGTGAGATGAGGGGAATCAAAATAAAATCCCAATACTTTCTGATGTGCCACATGCTGAATATTTCTGTTAGAAACTCGAAGTGTTACAGCTGGAGCAGTACGGCGAGATGTGAAGACTTGGTATGAACACTTTACTGGGTTAAGCTTGAACTGCCAGCGAGTGCACCACTCACCAATCTCGTCCAAATACCGCTGCAACTAATGCGTGAGTGAACTAATGCGTTTTTAAGCTGTTTTAACTGTTTTAGCACTAGAAACCTAGAACGTCCGGGCAAATTTACGGCCGAACTCGTGGCAGGTCTCACGACCAATCTCCAAATTCAATTATCATGTAATATCTCCCAAACTAATGAACGCAGCTCAATGAAATTTGGAACATGTTTTCATCAGAACCTAACGGTTATTTTTAGCTCGTAAAAATTTTAAATTTTACCTTCATTCGCGAGCTATATTGCGATAAAGGCCGAAATTCGCGGTGATCAAAGAATTTCTTTCAAACTATTGAACAGATTCGAACGAAATTTTGAATTTACAGTCCTAACTACCGAACGGTAATGTTTAGCTCGTGAAAATTTATTCGATTGTACCTTTGTTCGCGAGTTTTTATACATTCCTAGTTGTCGTTTATATACATTCCTAACTACCAAATGGTGATTTTTTAGCTTTTAAAAAATTTTCGATTTTACCTTCGTTTGTGAGTTTTTTTTCATTTCACCGTCATTCCTGATTCCATGCTTCCTTATATTCGGCCCGTATCGCCGGATAATTTGTCGCTTAAATTGGCGGCGATCAAGAAATTTCTTCTAAACTACTGAACATATTTCAACGAAACTTTGTATATAAATACCTAACCTCCCAACGGTGATGTTTAGCTCCTTACAATTAAAAAAACTCGTGAACAAAGGCACAATCGAATAAATTTTCACGAGCTAAAAATTTTTGTTCGGTAGTTAGGACTGTAAATTCAATATATCGTTCGAATCTGCTCAATAGTTTGGAAGAAATTTCATGATCACTGTGAATTTCGGCCCGTAGCGCCATATAACTATGGCAAAAACAAATGAAGGCAAAATTAAAAAAAAAATTCACGAGCTAACCATTACCGTTAGGTCCTAATGAATACGTGCATCAAGTTTCATCGAGTTAAGTTCATTAGTTTGAGAGATATTCCTTGATCATTGAATTTGGAAATTGGCCGTGAGACCGGCCGCGAGTCCGGCCGTTAATTTGTCCGAGGCGTAAACCCAGGAGAGGTTAAAAAAACAGATCTGGGTGAAAAAACTATCGCTGTGACTCATGATGTGCTGCACGTGTTGTGTACAAATCGTCAAACAAACGTTCGAACTTCGACTTCGGACTGCCGTCCCCTTATTGCCCTTTTCTTCTTTACCGCCCCCCAAAATCTTTCCATCGCCCCTAGGAGGGCGATATCGCCCACTTTGGGAACCACTGGCTTAAACTAACCTGCAGCGGGGATCAGCCGAACGATAATGACTAACGAGAAAATTGTGTGCGCGACGTTAACTTCCCAACGGTGTTGCCAAGGTAAAGTTAAAGTATAATTTGATTACAAAATAAAAGTCGCAAAATGTCTTAACACGAAATCGATAACACTAAAATGTCTTAACACTAAATCACTTAACACTTAAATCGATTTTTATTACTCATAGCCAGAAACGGGCTATCAAAAACTCTCGATTCCAAGAAATGTATGAAATTTTTAATTTATTAATGAAAGAATACATCTAAGTACATCGATCATGCAGAAAATGGCGAGTTGGTTCATGTGCACACCGCCTCTGTGCACATGAATCTATTCATGCATGTGTACATCTCTGTTCTCTTCATGCATGTGTACATATCTGTTCTCTTCATGCATGTGTACATCTCTGTTCTCTTCATGCATGTGTACATATCTCTTCTCTGTTCAACATCGTCAAATTTCTGCCTATGCTGTCAATCATCAGAGAGATGAGTGCAGTGGAACATATTTTC